CATGACTTCCCATCCCCAAATCATTATTTTTCATTAATATTGTACATTGTATACACAGGAAGGAAATGTATTCTTTTTTTTTTCTTTAATTTCATAACCAGTCCGTTTAGAATCCAGTCCTCCTAGTTATATCACATATGCCTTTGTTGATATGCTCTTTCTGCTTTCTTTAGACTTTTGTTTGAAGGGGCGGAGGGAGGAACAGAACAGGCGAGGATCCTAAGGCAGAGTAGAGGATCCCCCTGCCTACTTCAGCCTCCCACAACCCTAACCATCCCTCTCATAGTATAGAACTGATTTCTCTCTGTTTGTGTTTGCACACATGCATGTACACAGACATAAATACCCACCCACCCCTGAGTGGTGGCCCGGCAGGAATTAGCATCAGCTGCTGGCCACCATTCCCACCTTCTGTTACCAGGTCTTTCGTCACTCTTTGGGGTAAAATGCTACCCCAGATTGAGAAAACGCTGGGGAGAGTAGGGCAGGTTAAGGCGGCTATGTCCTCTGTAGGTGCAGGTTTGTATTTAGCTGCTAGGGTTTATTTTATTTTTTTAATGGGGAGCTGGTAGCACAGAGCTATCTCACCACCATAGCTACTGGTGAGTGCTGTTTCAGCTGTAAGAAATGACTAGGAGCACTAGTTTCATTGGCTTTCCCTTAGGGTGGTGGGTCTCAGAATGTGGTCCAGGACCAGTATAGCACCAGCAGCACCAGCATCTGGGAGCTTGTTAGACATCACATTTGGGCCCCACCACAGACCTATTGAATCAGAAACTCGGGCTGGGCTCTAACAAGCACTCCATGTGATTCTAATGCACACTAAAGTGTGAGAACCATTTCCTTAGGGGCAAGCTGGGACATCCTTGTAGGGTGTCGGGGATATTTTAAGTACCATCCTCTGCCTGAGCACTAACACATTTTACCATTTCCTCCAGTCCCTCTCTCCACCCCCATTAAAACAACAACCACGTCATTCATCTCAAAATCTAGGTTTGTCTTCCTTCTACTTCCTCCTAAAACCTGTCCTGCCTTGGTCTGGATAGGAATTGTCGCATATTCCCTTGCAGACTGGTCACTCCACATTCTTTGTTACAGGAAGGACCGGCTGGAGCTCTAGCTGTCCTGTACACACATACACACACACACACACACACACACACACACACGCATCTACACACCCCTTTCCGGTAGGGAGATGAGCCTCCAGCCCCAACAGTTGAGGCTGCTGCCTCCTTACATAGTATCTGTTAAAAGAAAGCAGTGTGTATCTATGGTTATATCTCTGTTCATCTGTATATCTTTGACATGTAGCAACACCTCTCCATCTCATCAAGAAACTCGACGCTGGGTCTGGGTCTCCCCCAGTCCCCAGTGGTGGACTTTGACATGTGGGAGGATGTAGTGCTACAGGCTGTTTTGTTACAAAACTGTCTTGTCCCTTTCCCTGCCACCCAACTCAGCATGATCCCTGTGAGCAGGCTCTCACAATCTCCTGGGACGGGCTGAGGCAGAGGCTTCATTCTCCTCCCTTCTCCTCCCCTCTCCCGTCCCCCTTACCACCCAGCAGTTATCCCCCCAGCCATGCCTTCTCCCGCTCCCCCTCGCCCTGACATATATTGTGCCTTATTTATGCTGCAAATATAACATTAAACTATCAAGAGAACCACTGTTATGTCTAATGCTTCAGTACTCTCATCTACAAGTCCCATTGGCTGCTCTTTCTGGGAACTCGTTGGGCTTTCGTGTCTGTGCTCTTCCTCGCTCTCCCATTTCTGAGGACAGAAGGAGCAGGGATTCTTATCCCTCCTTTTTATGCAGGGAAGACACAGCCTAAAGAAGGTAGGTGGTTTATATAAATTACAGAACACGAAAGAAGGCACAGAGACCAGGGCTCATATTTGTGCACTGCCCCGGGGACAAGGGCCCTCGGCATCCTGGGAGCCTCATTGCAGAACTCGTGCGCTTTATGTGGATAGGGGATGGTAGGGTGTCTGAAGGCAAGCGGCCTCTTCTCTTTCAGTGTTCTGTCCCCTCCTTTTTCCCAACAATAAGAACAAAAACAAGCCCTACTCTCAGGAAGTTTCTGGCATGACTGGGGGAGTGCACACATAGACAACAGAGAGAAAGTGAAGCTTTCTATGATTCTGTCAGTTCTATGGATGTGGGGAAGAGCTTGTTTAGAAGCAGGTAGGAGTCACAAGAAAAACAGGTAATGGTCAGGAACTATGGCGAGGGGTAGGGCAATCTGTATCCCTAGATAATTAGCACAGGTGAGAAGAGTGAGCCAGGCTGAAGAACTTGACCACCTGACCAAGAGGTAGCAGGTACCTCTGAATTTTTCCCAGTAGGAGAGGAGTGATACGGAAGCTGTTTGCGGTTGGTGTTTGCAATAATTGACACAAGTAGGGAAACTGAGTCTCCGTAGGACAGTGGGAAAGGGAGTGGTGATCTTCACTGTGTTGTGGTCAGGAGCACATGGGGTTCCAGAGAAGGGTAAGAAAGTATTTCTTTGGTATTTGCTGAAAGCCAAATACCAAAGCCAAATACCAAACCAAGATTGAGATGTTTTGGAAGAGAGGAGACTGAAGGAAGGGTAGTTTCCCAAGTTCTAGAATAATTAACCCATTCCCACTGCAGGCCTATCTTGTTTTATTGTAACGTCACCTTATTATGCTTTGCAGATAGCGCGTTTGTGTGTGTGTGTTTTGTTTTTACAAATTGAAGGTACAAGACTTCAGTGGAGGAAGTAACTATAGTTGTGGAAATAGCAAGAGAACTAGATTTAGAAGTAGAGCCTGAAGATGTAACTGAATTGCTGCAATCTCATGATAAAACTTGAACAAATGAGTTGCTTCTTATGGATGAGCAAAGAAAGTGGTTTCTTGAGATGGAATCTATTCCTAGTGAAGATGCTGTGAAGACTAGAAATGACAAAGGATTTAGAATATTACAGGGGCACCTGGCTGGCTCAGTCAGAAGAGCATGCGACTCTTGATCTCACAGTTGTGAGTTCCAGCCCCACGTTGGGTGTAGGGATAACTTAAAAAAAAAAAAAAAGTATTACAGAAACTTAGTTGATAAAGCAGCGGCTGAGTTTGAGAAGTTTGACTCCAATTTTGAAAATTCTATGGGTTTAAAGCTGTGAAACAGTATCACACACTACAAAGAAATCATTTGTGAAAGGAAGAGCCAATCGATGTAGCCAACTTCACTGTCAATTTTACGAAATTGCCACAGCCACCCCACCCTTTAGTAACCACCAATCTGATCGCTCAGCAGTGAGCAACATCAAGGCCAGACCCTCCACCAGCAAAAAGATTATGACTTGCAGGGTGCCTGGCTGGCTCAGTCGGTAGAACATGGGACTCTTGATCTCAGAGTCCTGAGTTCAAGCCCCACGTTGGGTGTAGAGCTTACTTTTAAAAAAATTTTTTTAACAACTTGCTAAAAGCTCAGATGATAGCATTTTTTAAGTAAAATTTTATTTTACGATTTTATTTGAGAGAGCAAGCAAGAGCAGGGGGAGTGGCAGAGGGAGAGGGAGAAGCAGGCTCCCCACAGAGCAGGGAGTCCGATGTGTGGCTCGGTCCCAGAACCCTGGGATCCCAACCTGAGCCGAAGGCAGACACTTAACTGAGCCACCCAGGCACCCCTAAGCAATATTTTTAAATTAAGGTATGCACATTATTGTGTGTTTATTTTCAGATATAATGCTATTGCACACTTACTAGGTTACAGTATAATGTAAACATAACTTTTATATGCGCTAGGAAACAAATTTTATTTGACTCTCCTTATTGTGTTACTTGCTTTATTGTGGTAGTCTGGAACTGAACCAGCAATATCTCCGAGGTGTGCCTATACCTACCAAAGGAGAGAGCGGTCCCCTCCCTCCTGGACATAGGAAGTTAGCTAGACCAGACCCTTGCTGAATTGAGCCTCAGCTCAGGTCCACTTGTAATTGATGATCAGAGATACCAGGAGAGTCAGGGTGGCAAACATTTATTAGCTGCTCTGTGCTAGATGGAACACTAAATGCTTTGTATTCATTAGGTCATTTACTGTTCTTAGCAACCTCTTGATAAACAGGAATAGTTGCCTCATTTAAGATGAGCTGAGGTTTAAGTTAAGACATTTGCTCAAGGCACATGGTGGCGTGCAGGAGCTGGGATGAAAACAGCTCTGAGCCCAGAGCCACTCTGTGCAATCTAGAGGCCCACACCCCTTCACAACCCTGCTCCTCTGGACTTCTGTCAGGGGAGAACAGAGAAGTGGTACAGGATCCATCTCCCACAGAAAAACCCATCTGCCCATGGACTTGGATCGTCCCTTTTAAGCAGCAGTGAAATTCCAAGATGTAGTGATGAGGAGCGTCAGGTTCTGTGCTCGGGACCAGCTGGGGGACAAAGCATACAGAAGGGTTCACCCTAGCTTAGGCCGGATTAGTATCTAAAACATCCAGATGGAAACCCGCTCTAACCTACCTATCCAAAGTTATAAATTGGTTTCTAGATGTCTTGCTTTAAAGGGAGCAGTGATCCCCTTAACAAGAGAAGACTAGAGTGGAAGAGGGACATCTGTCTTCAAATACATGAAAGGCTTGCACACATGAAAGATGTGCAGTGTTCCGTGACTTGATGGGGCAAACTGAATCCCATGGTGGAGGCCACAGGAGATGGAAGACAGCTTGGTGCCCGGATAAATCTGCCCCATCACTGTCTCAGCAGATGGAAAGTTCGCTGGGGCTCATGTGTGCAAGGATCAGCACTGCTAATGTTTTGAGGACGCTTGCTCTGTGCCAGATCCTGTGCTGAGCGGATTACAAAAAGTATCTCAAATAATGCTTTACCCTAGAAAGTAGTTCCTTTTAATGTTGCCATGTTTTAGGTGAAGAAACTGCAGTTTAGAGAGCTTGCTTGCCCAAGACTGATCCACAGGCTCTTGACGCCATGGCACCTCTCCAGCATAGGCTAGAGAACCACACTGGGGGCGGGGGGGGGGGCAGTGATGGCTGAGGAAGGGACTCTAGGATCAGAAGGAAAACCTTCTCTCTTGAGGGAAAATGATTTTTTCCTAAAAAGGCAAGATTCTTGTTGCCTGCCCTAACTGGTCAGAACCAGGCAGAGGCTGGGGTGACTAGAAGGAGGTGGATGAAACCAGATACCAACCCCAGGATCCTGCCCCTGCCTTTTGGGGACCCCTTAGAGTCAGGGCGTTAAGAACCTCCATCTACCGTCACCCTTCAAAGAGCAGAGAAAGGAAATGGCCGGCTTTGACAGTGCGGCGCTGTGGCCACAGGGTGGCAGCAGTGCTTCAGCCGCAGAGGCTGGCTCCAGAAGCCCGGGTGAGGCAGATCCTGAGCAGGGCTCTCCCGTGAACATGGGGTTTGTCTACAAAGATTGGAAGCGATCCCCACTTTCTGTGAGCTCTGAAACCTTTTAGTCTCCTTCTATATCCCACTTTTCTATCCACAGGCAAATCCCAGAGGAGTGATTCCATTTTTAACCCAAGGCAGACATCAGCAAGGGTGTGAATGGTCTGAATGACCCTGACTGCAGCCAGTCACGAGAGGGACCAGGCTGGGTCATCCCGGCTCGCTGTAACCCTGTGGCTCTTCCTGCCTTCCCTCTGTTCCAAGACATAGTGCCTAGACCTCCTTGACAGGACTTCCTCTATGCTTTTATTCTCCAAGTTAGGAAAGAGAGGTGATCAATTGGAGCTCTCCAACCTGTTGAAGAATTGGGGGTTCTTGAAGGCCCCCAGGGCCTGGCTCTGACAAAGCGTCTGCAATTAAAGATACTTCTTGAGCTCTGGAGACAGGATTTATGCATCTAATAAAGTCTGTAACTCCAGGCTTAGGGGCTGGAGGCTGGAGGCTGGGAGCAGGAAGTCCCAGGAGTACCATGGGAGGGGATCCCAGGTGGCTCCTAATGGAGCGGTGCCTTTCCATCGCCTGCTCCAGATTCCCCCTCAGGCTGCTGCGGGGTGGGGGGACTGGGCCACAACAGAGATAAGAGGCGCGTATGGCTGCGGGAAGGCGGACGGCAGCATGGAGTCCAGGCGAGCCGCAGTGCTGCTGCTGGTGCTGCTGCGAACACACTGGGGCTGTGCCGGGGGACCAGCGCACGGAGGCGAAGGAGACCAGGTCTTCGCGGTAAGTTACCACCCCATCCCCGTGTCACCATTTCTCTTTGTTTTTATTTTTTAAAAGATTTTATTTAGAGAGCAGTGGGAGGAGGGGCAGAGGGCAGGGAGAGAATCTCCAGCAGGCTCCACGCCGGGTGCAGAGCCCGACGTGGGGCTCGATCCCACAACCCTGAGATCATGACCTGAGCCGAAATCAAGAGTCAGCCGCTTACCCGACTGCGCCAACCAGGCGCTCCCCCACCCCCCCACGTCACCATTTTTCTATCTCGGCTTGAGACTTGTGCTCTCAGTTCAAATACTCTGGCTGCCAGGATCTTCAGTGGGTCCTCACATCCGAGGAAGTGGCTCCTCAGCCTCCTACAACTGGCCTCTGAAAGTCACTCCTTTTCCCTTGTGAACTAAATGTCCAAGGCCTTTGCCCATCTTCCCTCCCCACTGCCCCTGAACCACAGGAGGAAGATAGCAGACCCCATCCACTGCAGGAGGCCCAGATTCCTCTGTCACTCTTGCGCTCCCTACTCCAGGCCATGCAGAGACCCAGCCGGAGCCCAGCCTTTCTGTTTCAGCCCCAGAGGTGAGTCTAAGAGGGCCATGGGCAAGGCAGGAGCCAAAGGGGAGGGTGGGGGCTTGAGAAGGGAGGTGCCAAAAGGACCTACAGTTGAAGATAGATCTCTCCCAAGGTTTGGCAGAACCTACCGGGGCTCCTGGAGCAGCAAAGAGCTGAGTCCCCGAGCTGGGGAGGGGTTCAGCTCCCCCTTCTGGAGCCTGGCTGCCCCTCAACGCTTTGGGAAGAAGTGACACGTCATCCCTTGATATGTTTGCATGCGAGGCTCACAACTAAAAGTGCCATGCCTCTCCTGGCCACCCCCCGCCCCCAATAAAGCTGTCTGGCTTCTGAATCCACGCGTCTGTCTGTCTGAGACTTGAAAGGGCGGGAGAGAGCCCCAGGGCAAGAGCCACAACCCCTCCGTCTCCGCCAAACCAAGCTCTGCAGGGACTCAGGTGATGGGATTCCTGGAGCTCACTGCACCCAGCCTCCCGCCACCAGATAAGGCAAGCTTGGGGCCATGTGGGGAACAAGGTGGGGAGGCACAACAGGGGAGGTGACCTGGTGCTAACCCCCCCTGCCATCAGCACTAGGCAAGGGAACAGAAAGAGCAAGGTTTCAGAATGCAAGAGGCAGCGCATTTATTCTGGGCTCTAAGGGAGAGCCCCCTGGTTTCATTCCCACTCATCACCACCAGTGCCATGAGGACAGATCTTGGGCCAGCCAAAGCCCCGTGGTCCCTGGCTCCTGGGCCAGTGTCCTCCTCAGCCTGCAGGCAGGCAGTCTGTGTCAGAGGTAGAGATGGCACCTCCAGGGGTACCAGAGCTGAACAGACTCACGGGCTGGGGGAAGAAGAGCAGGGAGCAAGGACGTGTGTCCGTGAGTCCAGCTGGGGCTTTACTTGCTGCCCGCCATGATCTTGAGGTACTGCAGGGCACGGCGAGCAGCCTCACCACGGGCTGCCTCCCTGGTCGTTGCAGAGCCATGACACACGGTCGCCGGCTGTGTGGACAGCTCCACCAGGCACTGGCAGAGCCCGCTCAGGCTCAGTTCCTCTGGAGACCAAAAGAGGACAGAGGCAGGGTTGGGCAAGAAGGCAGCACCAGGACGGGCGCATCCACATCATCATCGTGCCCTCCCCAACCCCCTTCAGGCCCATCTGTACTTGCTCTGGCTCAGTCCCCACCATCCCCTGGCCTCCCAACTAGCCATACCAATATCCAGGTAGCTGACATGGAAGGCCTGTTCCTCAGAGAGCTCACTAAGAACACTGCAGCAGGCAGGGCCCAGAGCACCTAAGGCGCCCAAGGAGCAGCTGCGGAGGGACAGGATCTTCTCTCCCACTGAATTTCGCAGAGAATCCCAGGTGCAGCCTGGGCCCCGGTTCCGAAGTCCATCCAGGCGGGAGCCCACACCCTGACAAGATGGGGACAATGAGAAAGATGCAGCCGTGAGCCAAGACCCAGGCCTTTAACAGACATTCAAGGCCAAGGAGAGAAAAGCCCACAGAATGAATGCTTCGTCCAGCTCGCCTTCCCCTAGTTGGCCCCCTCTAACCACTAGAGTCTGGACCAGGTGTCCAGGCAGCCTTCCTCATTCCAGCAACAGCAGGCCCCACGGCCCCTGCCCCGGACAAGCTCCCCACAGCACTCACCCGGCAGGCCAAAGCTGAGGCTGACAGGGGGCCCAAGGAACTCTGGGTCTGGTAGGAAAATGGGCAGGAGCTGGCCTGGGATCTGGAGAGGCTCACTCCCGAGTGACAGGCCCAAGTCCCCAGTGCCCTGCCTGGCATGGAGGATGGACCACAGGGCCTGGCCCACACAAGCCACTCACAATGGAGAAGTGGTCGTCATCGGGCTCTGCCTCATTCCCATCCCGGGCATCCAGAGGCACCGTGTGCACCCGAAGCAGCATTTTGGCGGCTGCGTTACGCTTTGCCAGCTTTTTGGAAGTGCCGCTGCCTGCGTGTGGGGAGAGGGTTGCTGGATTATGATTCCCAACAGGCCCAGTGCTTTCCACCCAGCTCAAACTTGGGTTGAGGGTCCCCCATGGAATGTCAGTTGGAAAGAGGAACTCAGGACCTGCCATGCAGCTAAGAACCTGGTCAGCCAGTGAGGGTGGGGGGAGGCCAGCACAAGGAAGGAGCTAGGAGGAAGGAGCCAAGCTGGGGGTCTCAGCCCGGAGAGTGGGGCCGTAGCAGAGAGAGGCTAGGAGCTGCCTGTGGCCAGGGCTGGAGTAGCTGCAAGAACTCCCCTTGGCCCAGTTACCAATCTCAATGAAACGCTCCACTCGGCAGGTCATGGTAAACTCTTTGCGGTGGGCTGGCCCAGACTCTTGGGTCACCGTGTACTCAGGCAACCGCCAGCCTTTCTGCACCACCAGCTCCTTGGGAGGGAGAAACAAGGGTGCACAAGGCAGAGTGAGAAACGACTCCTCACATCCTCTCCCTCCTACCCTGGGAGCCTCAGATTCCAGGTTAGAGGAGGAATGAAGGGGGCTGGGAAAAGCCCTCAGAACAGGATAAGAGCCCCACATAACCGTCCCTCACAGCCCCAGGTTCAAGGGAAGACAGGCATGCACAGGAAATGAGGATGGGGGCACACCTGCAGAGCGCCAACAGGATTGCACTCAGACTGCTGAGGGGAGACGGGGGGCTGCACCTCCATGGGGGGGCTCCTGAAGGAACAAGCGTCCAGGGCCAAAGCTGATGGGGCTGTCCCTTTTGTGGCTGCCCATGAGTCCTAAGCCCTGCTCTGATGTCCCCACTACCATCTCCCTAGTCCCTGCCAAGCAGGGAACTGTCTATCCAAACATCCAGGTTGCTTCCTCCCTTTCCCACCCAAGTGAGGTCTCTTCTAGGGCCCAGACCCACTGAGATTTTCTGGAAACACCGGATCATCACCTTGCCAGGACAGTGGGAGAGGAACTGTATATCCAGTCCCTAGAAGCACCTGATGGGAGGCACACACAGGACGATCATGTGACCAACTCAGAAGAAAACGGGGCCTGCAAGACCCTTAAACATGGTCAAACATCATCCCTGTGGCTATTTAAGAATCATAAATTACCTCCTGTCCCAAGAGCTTACCAATTGGTGCAAATTCTTCAAATTCTGGTCCCCAACTATTCCATCCTCTGTTTACTCTCAGACTTCCTCCTGGCCTGACCAGCCTGGGTCCAAGGGCTGGGGGGCCAGGAGCCAGGACCCCCTCCTCCCTCCTTCAGGCAGGCAGGAAATACAAGATACCTGGTTGGAACAGCAGATGGACCCGGAGTGGCAGCCGCTGCAGTAGTAAAAACTGGAATGTCCTCAGGCAGCGAAGAGTCTAGGGGAGAAAAAGAACTTCCCGAGGGGAAGGGGGCCTTTGATTCACACCCATGTTGGGGGTGGGGGGAGTAGAGGGTAGGGACCCAGGTCCTCCTGACCTGCCCGCTCCCTAAGAAAACTCCTTCCCACTGGAGCCAAAGACTCAGGGAAGCTTAACCACCAGCTTTTCCTCCTCGGAGCCTTTGCTGCCAAACACTGGATCAAGAAGACTGAGAAAAGGGGAAGAAGGGTCTCTTCCTACCCAAGAAACATGGAGGCAACAAATTCCAATGTGAGTGTGGAAGAGGGAAGGACAACCTGCTAGGAGAGAGGAGGCATGTCGGGGTGCAACCCCTCTAGCCTCAGCCTCCACCCCTTTCCCTCCCTAGCCTGGGCCCAAACCACAGCCACAGCCCCTTGACAGTCCCCCCCAAAGGATCCTTCACAGCAGCAGGGGCCCTGGCAGCATCCTGCTCTGTCCAGAGGAAACTCTCAGGAAGGGGCCAGGTCAAGGTGGCTAAGTGTCACCAGGCCAGGCCTCCTGGGCAGAGGAGGTGGCACAGGGGCCTGGGTTCCTGGCAGGGCCTCTAGGAAGCCTCGGCTGTTCCTCCCTCACCTGCTGTCCTCCAGGGCCGGTTCCAGCATGCTCCCCCCTTTGAGGTGTTTGAGGGCCACCTCAGCTGCCTTGTGCTTGGCTGCCTTCTTGCTGGGGCCCTGACCTGAGAGAGGGGCGTGGGCAATACTGGAGGTCACTGGGAGGACAGAAGAAAAACCAGCATCCCACAGCTTCTCTCCTCATAGCTGGAGGGAGTCAACCAAGCCCCTCTCACCAATTGCCCCTGCCCAAGACTGGAAGCGTTACACTAATTATTGGAAGGGGGGGCTTTTATCTTCCCCAGAGCTCCCCAAATCAAGCCATGCCAGGCAGAACTGCCCCTGAGCTCAGACATCTTGGGTGGAGATTCTTTCTCTGCCTTACTTTCCTCTGGGAAGCACTTTCTTTTCTCTCAATAAATAAGAGATGGCTGGGAAAGGGAGAAAGAGGGTAGGCTCTAGAGTCAAGGCCTGGCTCTGCCACTCCCCCTAGGCACGTGACCTTACACCACTCACTGAATCCCTCTGAGCCTCAGTTCCCTCATATTCAACATGAGGATACTACCATCTACGTCACTGGATTAGACTGTAGTTTAAGGTTAACTAGGAATTTGATCAAGCACCTGGAACAGAGCCCAGTGCAGCGGGCACTGACTCCCCCAACTACTTCACTGAGAATTCGGTTTATCTCTTCTTTCTCCTCCAGGATGATGACAATCTGCCAGATCACTGTGGCAGTCCTGCTTGCTCCTCTAACTCTCCCAAGTCCTACCCACCTCCTCAAAGTCCCGTTTTCCCAAACCAGTCAGTGGCTTTTCCCCGGAAATCTCTCCTTCCCTCACTGGCCTTGGAGAAAAGGACTGGGAAGAGACTCCAAGAAACAAAGCCAATAGGGCCCTGTGAATGCACACCCCAGCCAGGCTGCCCAAGCCTTCCTCACCAGTGCAGCTGGTGTCGCCAACGGTGACCCGGAAGGTGAAATTAGGCTGGTGGGCTTGGCCCTCGGCTTTGAGAAGGTCGTACACGGGCGTCTTCCCTATTCTGGTCCCATACTCCTGCAGAAGGCTGATCGGGGTCTTGCCCGGGTTGGCCGCCAGCATTTGCTCTATACTGGGGGAGGCGGGGGGCATAGACCCTTATCACACCTCCAATTCTGCACCCACCTGGCCAAGCACTGTCATATCAGACCCAGGCACACTATGGGGGACATAGGGTCCAGGGGACCCCGGACAGTACAGCAAACATTGGCTGGATTCAATGTGGAGTACAGATTCAGGCTGGGAAAGCAGGGTCCACTGCCCCCAGAACAAGCGGGGGGCACTTGTTCCTGTCTCAGTTAAGAAGGAGGACCCTGTACCCCAGTGCAGTTAGGAAGTGCATGTCCCCTGGCACAGTACAGGTCAGGGACCCGGTACCCACCAAATGCACTGAATGTCGAGAGCATAAAGCCCAGTGCCCCAAGTGCAGTCTGGGAACCGGGCCAACCCCAAACTATTTAGAGCAGGAGGCAGTGGCCACTACCGGGATGCATGCCGGGAACCACGGCCCCCTACCCCAGTGCTTGCCGGGAACAACCCTCAGGCCAGGTGCATGCTGGGGCCGCGCCGCTACCTCCTCAGCACCGCGCCACGCTTTTCGCCCGGCAGGGATCGGTACGAAGCGGCTCACCTGGGCAGCCCGCAGCCCGTGGTAGTGCCGGAGCCCTGCTCCTCTTCACTCATTCCCACCTCCGTCCCCGCGGGCGCCACCGTGACTACAGCCTCTACGCGCCCCAATACACCACCGACGAGCTAGGGCCGGGGCCAAGCCCCGAGTCGCGGCCGGTCGGGCCCGCCGCGGGGCATACTGGGACATGGAGTCCCCCGCCCACCCGACTCCATGAGTCTCCATCGGGAGGGGAGCTATCCGCCCCACAACCCTCCGCGTGGTTTGCTCTGGCATGCAGCACCGCCTTCAGGGAGGAGCAGAGCCCTCCTCCACTGTCGCTTCCGGAACTGAGGGCGGTTTGGGGGGGTGGGGGGGGTTAATAGCGTCCCGCCTCCTTTTTTTGCGTCGCGGCTCCCCGGAGCGGGCATGCGTAGTAGCAGAGTGGAAGCGGCTGGGGGCGGGGCGGTAAGGGCTTATTCGAGCACCTGGTCCTTTGACTCGCGAGAAAACTACAGAACCCAGGAGCTCGCGCGTCATCTTTGTCGCAGCTGGAGGGGCAGGGTCAGGCATGCACGAAAAGCTTTGCAGTATAATTGGTTATTTCCGATTGCGCTTACTTGCTGTCGGCAGATAGCGATTGGTTACTTTACCAAGAGGGGCAGGGACAAGGAAAGAGCCAGCCCCCCTTTGGCTCCGCCTCTTTATTGAGGAAATGTTGTGATTGGTCCAGGGGCGAGGCGGCTGTCGGATCCTGGCTCTTTGCAGGCTGGGAGGGTGGGCCTTACCTGGACGCGGGAGGAGACTGTTCTTTGCCCCTCAAGCGCTGGGGCAAGCCAAGTCCGTCTCAGGCAGTTGCCCCTCAGCCCTTGGCTTAAACTCCTGGCCCTTGGGCCTTCGTCTCACAGCACCTTGCTTCCTTCCTAGGCTGCCCTTCACCTCCCTTCCCCTTAATTCTGGCCCGCAGCCTGTCTGGTTTCAGTTCTTTTCTAAAGCCTTTTTTAGGATGACCCTAATTCTGAACCTTTCTGTAGCTGGCCAGGAGACCCTCTCTGGAGCCTGAGAATCAGGCTATAGCGGGACAACAGGATTAGAAGGACTAACGCAGGTCGTGGTCTCATTCCCTCTGCCGTGGGTCTTGGGTCTCTGAAGAGACAGCAACAGAGGATTCTGGCCTCTTAAAACGAATCCACTAATCTGGGTGCAGAGCAGAACACATATTTGGGTCCCAGAGCTCCAGTCCCTCCTCCCCAAAGTCTCACGACTACTGGGTTAAAAGATGTAGGAAAATCTTGTGACCTTGGAGAGAGATCACGAAAATGCCTGGTTCTAATGAGTGTCCTGAGACTGGGTCAGGTAGTGGAGGTCCCGGGGAATCTTGTAATGATAATGAGGAACACTGGAGGGGGACAGGGCATTGAGTTTGAGTGGATTCCAATTGGGTAAAACTGGAGTGGTGACAATTAGGGGAAGGAAATCTGGCAAGACCGGCATGACAGGGGGAGCAAGGCGGGGGGGGGGGGGGCTGTCCCATGTTGAGGGGCTTCTGTCTCAGGATATAGGAGGGAGTTTGTAAGATTGGTCATAGGGGGCTCCTGCGGAATCAGCGTAAGGCCCGAGGTGCGACTGCCACAGGACACCGCTTGCAGGGAGGTGAGGGGCCCAGAAGGGCCAGCGACGAGCCTGGAGCGCGCCGGATGGCAGCAGCAGGCTCCTTTAAGAGGCCGGCGGCTCCAGCGCAGCATCCCCCGCTCAGGGCGTGTCCGTCCCGGGGGGCCAGGGGCGGGGGCCTTGGAAGGAGCGGGAGTTCAAGCCGAGTGGGGAAGGGGCTAGGGGTCGGGGGGTGGGGGGAGAAAGCTGGGGCTGACACCCGTGCAGCCGGACACCGCACGAGCCTCGCCTGTGACAGCGCCCCGGGTCCGGTCGAGGGCAGCGGGGGGAGGAGAGAAGGAGGAGGAGAAGGAGGAGGAGGCGGGAGCAGCATCCGGAGCCGAGCTGCAGCAGCGCCGCCTTTTGTGCTGCGGCCGCGGAGCCCCTGAGGTGAGAGCTTGGCCGAGTTGGGGGGGTGGGGGGCAGGGATGGGTCCGGGTCCAGGGATCCGGGTGCGGAGGGAGGGTCGGGATGCAGATGTGGCGGGGTGGGGTAGGGTGGCGCGGGGATGCTGAGGCTGTGGGGCGGAGGAAACTGGGGACCTGGACCCGACGCCTGTGGGGATGGGAAGGAGGGGAACGGAGCGGAGGGACGCCGCGGCCCAGCTTGGAGACGAAGGGCCTCCAGAGCTGGAAAGGACCGTACGGGGTGGGGGTGGGGGGATGACTGGGGGACAGACTTAAAGGGCAGCGGGCAAGAGAACATCCTCCTCTCCTCCCACTCATCCTCCAGAAGGGGGAGAGGGAAGGGGGAGGAAGAGTTTGGGCCCCCTGAGGGAAGGAAAGGAAGGACAGGGCCTGATGTGCCCACCGTCCTCCTCACTACCACCCCCACTTCCCTACTCAGCCCGCTGCACCTGAGGATTATGGGCTGAGAGCACCTGTTCCTGGATGCCCAGGTGATGGCCCTCCTCCCCTTCCCTCTGATGCCCCTAATCCCCTCCAGCTGTGGTATTCACCTTCTCCATCCAGCTGTTGCTTCTTCCCCTCCCCCATTCATTTGTGGTTTTCTCCCTCTTTCTCTCCATCTCCTCTGGCTCCCCTAACCCAATTCCCCAGCCCAGGCCTTTCAGGAACCTCCTCCCTTCCCCCCCCCCCACATTTCTCAAACTCCTTGGCTGAAAAATAAGAAAGAATCTGTTCCACAGTTGTGACTCCTGGTAACTATGGCCTTGGCTGAGGGAAGGGAAGAGAAGGGGTTAGAGACTCTGTACACAGTGGAAGGAAATCGGTGGGGTGTCCCTTAAAATAGAAGGAGGAGTCCCGCCTTTGGGGACTTAAACTCCGCACCTGCTCCCTCTTGGGAGAAGAGTGGGTGGGTGGCCCTCAACCAAGAAGGCATGTGCCTGAGGTCTCTCCCCCACCCAGAGTCCCCTCAGCCACAACCAGTGCCTCCCTCCAAATGACACTTTCCTTCCAACTCACAGGATGGACTCCGTGGCTCTAGGAGCTCTGATTGTCAGCCCAAGGGTAACACCAAGGGAAAGCAAGCACAAGGGATTCTGGAAGGAAAGGGCTCAAGCGCTCCCTGGCCTTCCTGTCCAGACAGCAAAGTTTCCCAGAGCTTCATCAGGGCCTGCTCTCTCCCATCTCACACTTCAGGGTGGCCAAAAGTGCTTGCTTCCTCGAGCCTGCCACTCATCCATTCTCCCAATGGGAACTGAGGTGATGCTGGGGAGACCTAAGGTGTGATACCCCAACTCCAGCACCCATGAAACCACAACTAAATATCCATCCCCAAATTAAACCCAGTTATGGGCAGAGGAGGCAAGAAGTTTAAGTAAGGACTGGCTTTGGACGTCCTGTGTGTCCCTACACCTAAGGATGGCAGGACCCCTCTCAAAACCAATGGCTGGTTCCCCGTCCTTCTCCTGGAGGTGATAATGTGGTCATCTGGCTTTGCCAAGAAGAGGACCCTAAATCCTAGTACCCACCACCCCAGACTCACCCAGTGGCATCTCACATGCAGTCCCCTCCCACACACACACCCCGCCTGGCCTGGGGAGGAGGAAGGGACTAGGAGTCCCTCCTGGGGCAGAAGGAGGATACTGTGGAGATGGGCCAGCAGGTGACATGTGGGCTTCATGAGGGGTTGGCCACAGCGACTGGTCTGTCTGTCTCATTTGCTTCCAGAAGGACCAGGGTCATCTTTGTGTTGGGGGAAGGTGATAAGGCAGGGACACTATGGCAGAGGAGCCTAAGGATCACCCAGGACAAAGAGCCCTTGGCCTTGGGTTCCTTCTTTCTTTGCTCTCCTTTTTCCCCTTGTGTTTGCCCACCTCCCTTTCTACCTGTACCCTCTCTACTGCAGACGAGGAAAAGGGGAAGAAGGGAGGGGAATCATATTTATACAAGAAACCCTGCTCCTGCTTGTTAGGCACTTTCGGCATGGTTCGTGTTTCTAGGGAGCTTCCTGTGTGCCAGGTCCTGGGCCAGGAACTTTACTGGGATGATCTCACTAGTGTTACAACAAGACTAAGAGTTGAGGAGTGTTCTCATCATCTCTGTCTTAGGGATGAGGAAATTGAAACTTAAAGAAGTAATCTGTTCAAAGTCAGAAAAGCAGCTTGGGGGAAGAGCTTAGGTCTTGAACCCAGGCCCGCCTGACCCAGAGCCACCATGTACTAGACTGTACAACCACTGTGTGACAGGGGTACCTTGGTTCCCGTTCAGAGAGAAGAGACAGGTTTGTTCAGAAGTCTCTTACTCCAGGTTGCCTGCCTGGTCAGGAGCAGAGACAGGACATCAACTGTCCCAAGCCAGGTGACAGGAACGGATGGGCACGCTAATTTTTATTTCCTCATTTTCAGTTCAAAATCGATTTTTTATTTTTAAAAGTAATTCAAAGTTATTACTGAAATATTAGAAAATATAGATCAGCCACAGGAAGAAAATAAAAATACCCAGATTCCACCTACCTAGAAACTGTTACACTTTGGTATCTGTCCTTCCAGATCTTTTTATATTTTTCTTCATGATTTTTTTGTCTTCCAGATCTTTTTAAATGCACATCCACCTCAGGAACTATTTGTTTAAATGTGCTGAACTTCTTTCAGGTCCACCTGAGGGCCTGAGTAGGAGGGATGCTGTGGCCCTTCATACCTTGCTCCTACCCCCTCCTTTCCCTTCCCTTCCATTCTGACCTTAAAGGGTAGGGCTGAGGGGTGACCCTGGGCCACGTTGGCCAGGGGGTGAGTATGTAGTGCAGGCCTCTCCCTTAGTCCAGAGGAGGTGGAATGGTAGGACCTGCAGAGGAAGGACTGAGGGTCTGGAAGCAAAGAGATGAGTGACTGGGGACTCCAGCGCCCCACTGCCACTGTGACCTGGTTTCCCTGGAACCCAAGACTGAGAAATGTCCTGTGGAAGTAGAAGGTCAGAGACCCAGTCTCCCTTTTTCTGGTCAGACAGAAGAGATGGCCTCTCCAGAATCCACAAAGACAGACCTGGTGTCCAGCCAACCAGGACAGAGCCAGGAGCCAGGCATTATGCTCACGGCATTCCCCACATCATCTTAACTGTCCCCACCCCAGAAGGTAGGCTTGGGAGACTTGGAGGGGTAACATTCTTTAACTCGTGGCAAAACTGAGCTTCTGGCTCTGATCTCTCCAAATCCAAAGTTGGCTCTTTTTCCCTAAATAGCACCACCCCCTGTCACTGCCCAGCTGATGGGAAGAAGAAGTGGTGGCAGCCGCGAGGGGGTCTCAGGGCTTGACCTGTATGAGGTGGGGAGGCTGGATTTAGGGGTGATCTCCAGTTTACCCCAAGTTCTCAGGGGAAGACACTTCCCCCTGATGAAGGCACTGAGAAAGCTGTAGTGCTTTCCATCTGAGAAGAACCCTGTGTCCAAAGAGAAAAACAGCTGCAGCCAGTCGCGAGGAGGCAAGGTCAGGAGGGGTCACAGTCCTTTATCCTGTCAGGATCTCAAAGCCTGTAGAGGTGGAACTAGCATCCCCCCAGAATCTTGGGTTTCCTTTCCCTGTGAAGACCTTCCTTGCCACTGTCACTCAAGAGAGAAGGGCAATCTTCCTCTTTTTCCTAAGTGCAAACTGAGGTCCAGGACAGTGGTGACTGCTCAGTGTGAAAGCCCACAATTTAGACAGATGGCCTGGCCTCTCAGCTGAGCCCCCAAGACTGCCAGACATGCAACTCGGCCTTGAGATTCCGCTGTTAGAACAGGACAGTAGGAGAAAGAATTCGAAGGGTTCCCTTGCCACAAGCTTCCAGCACCTCAGGCAGGAGAACCCAGGAGGAGGAATAAACAGGGGGGACCTCCCTGCCATACTCCACTACAGGCTCCTGAAGGGGCACTCTGAGAATCACCAGCAGAGAATCAGGTAGCTGAAACCAAGTTAGGACCTCCCAGGATGTCCAGAGAGCCTCTTTCCCGGCAGATGTATAGTTTAGGGACCATGCTGTCCCCCTCACCCAATCTGGAATTCTGCACAGTAAGCACTTGGTAAATATGGTTGACAGAATGATGGAGATATCCACCCCCTCCTGTCACATCTCTGCCCTTCCTCCATGCTCTGCATAATTGATGGCCTGGGAGACAGTTCCCCTCCCCCAGGGTGACCGAATGTCTAGGCCAGGGGCTCCTAGCATGATATGCCCCTAAAGCCCCGGCGCCAGGGCCCAGCTGGGGGGCAGTGGGACACAGCTGGCAGGTCAGAGATAAAGGAAACTGAGAGGGGCTGTGTGTTGGGAGAGGAATCTCCAGTTGACTGTAGCTCCCTGGGGCCTGGCTTTCCCCGACTCCCTCAGGTCAATCTAGAGAAGCTGTGTTAGCCTAAGAACAGGGTGGGGGTGGCCTGAGGAGCCTGACTAGATTCCCTCCCTTTCCCTAGATCACATCTCCTACTTCTTCAGATACTCCCACTGCCCTAAAAGACAAACAGGTGAAATGGCTTCTCTCCCTGTCTCCCTAGTTGCTAGCCCTGGATACCAGCGGGGCCTCTGGGGAAGCCTGGTGAACTGGAGGGAGGCTTGGCGGCAGGTGCCTGAGCATGTCACCCTCTCTCTGCCTCAAACTCCTAGTTCACCACACGAGGACTGAGAACTTCCTTTAAAAATCCAGGTGTTGTGCCTAGTCAAGGCTCAGCTTCTAAATAGGAAAGAACTGGGAAGGGCACAGATGTTCTCCGCGTTTTCCAGTTCTTTCTCGGCTACTTTTTCTCGGTTTCCTCTCTGCTTTTCACATTCAGGTGTTCCATCCATCCTCTTCCCATTTGATTCTCCCTGCGCTTCACTGTCTCGGTCTCTGAATCTCTCCGCTGCTACCCCCCCTCCACCCCCTCCGCTTTCTGGGTGTGCCTTATGTAGAAAGGTCGCCCTTTCTGTGTCCGTCTCCCTATCTCCCCATCTCCTGCTTTCTCTGTGGCACTGCTCCCCCAAGGCCAACTCAAGTCCCCTCTCTCCAACACCCATCGCTCTCCCTCCGCTCGGTGCCCCGGCCCAAGATTTGTCTGCATGAGGGGTCGAAGGAGGTATGCGAAGGCGGGCAGCACACAGGCGGCCGGCTGAAGGGGCCGGGGATCCACGCCGGCGACCCCCGCAGCCATCCCGGCCACCAGCACATGGGCCAGCCCGGGTCAGGGGCGGGGCTCAGGCGCAGCCCCGCCCCCGCCGTCGCCGCTCACGTGACTCTGGGCTAATCTTGTCCTGGTGACTTCACACGCCGCCTCGGGCCCAGTTGTCATGGTTACGCCGCAGCGCCCAGCGCTTCCCCCAACCCGCTGAGTCCCCTCCCCTTCCCCACCCGGACCCCCTCCTTCCGCAGCCGGGCCCCCGCCCCGGTTCCAGCCACGCGCCCCGCGCCACGTGACGGCCAGGAAGGAGGTCGGGAAGGGGGAGGGGGCGCTGGGGCCGTAACCCCTTCCTCCCCGCCTCGAAGGGCCCTTGCTGGGGCTTCCCGCGGGACCCGCGAACGGCCCGATCCAGCCCGCCCTCCTGGCCGGCCAGCCCGGCGGGAGCGCCCGCGAGCCCCGCTGTCGGGGCTCAGGCGAAAGCCCTGGGATCCTGCCGAGTAAATTCTTGGCCTGTGTTTGTCATTGGCATTACGGTGTACATCCAATCCCTCCACGGCGCCGATATCTCGTAGAATATGTTGAGGATTCAGAGGCTGGATCTGTGACTTAAGCTTTCTGAGCCTCAGTTTCCTCAAGAATATAAAGGGACCGACGGTAACAGCTCCTTCCCTGGGTGGTGTTGAAGAGCCAAGGAGCTACTGCGTCCGCAGTGTAGGGGCGGCCTTTAAGACGACCGTCCTGCCTGCGCGCGCGTGCCGTGCGAAGCCTGGGATCCCTGCGAGAGCGTCGGGGTCTCAAGGAGTGCAGGCTGTCAGAGGGGCCGGACGCCTGAGCACACAGTTCCTCCAGGATAATGGGAGCCATGATGGAGGAGGTACAGGGGGCTGTGCCAGCCCACAAGGGACATCAGCTCGGGGGGGGGGGGCGGGATGCGCAGAGAGGAAGACTTGCAGGATGAAGTGAGATTTGGAGAGCTAGGGCACGAGAGGCGCCTTGCAGGAAGAGAACGCCCGGGGGCGGAGCTTGAGCCTTTTCCTAGGAGAGGGCACCCTGGGCAGATTATCCAGTACCTGTCTCTTGGGGTGAGTTTCGTTTTGAGGATTAAATGAGCTAATGCGCCTATCGGCAGAGGCTAACATACATAGTAAGCCTTCCCTAAGAGTTAGCCATTCTCATTAGGTGCCCTGGCACAAAAGCCTGATGTCAGTTCTGTGTGGCCCGGGTACCAACAGCAGTGGGAGACGAGGCTGGGGAGCGACCAGAGTATGGAGATAAGGCTGCTGGACCAAGGGCAGTAGGGGATTATTAAAGGTTTTGAAGCAGAGGAGGGGGTGATGGCCAATTTGTGTTTTAGGAAGATCCTTCTAAAGGATGGTGGAAAATGGAGGGGGGAGTGCTGTATAAGTATTGGGAGACTAAGAGGCAGTCCTGGGTTAGCTGACACAGCTAAAGAGGCCTGAATTAAGACAGCAAGATGGGACTGGAGAGAACAGACCAGCATTGGGTCAGAGCTTTTCAAATGGGCCAAATTCAAGTAGGAATTACTTGAGGTGCTTGTTAAATATGCAGATTTCAGGCCCACCCAGAGCCACTGAAAAATCCTTGAGAAGTCTGGAAAGTGTCTTAAAAGAGCTGATACCATCAGAAGTGCCAAACCTCTATGTCAGTCTGTGTCATCATCCGGTGACCCCCTTTTTGTGTGTAGCGTCCTGTCATTCCTCTCCCGTGGTGATTCGGAGGCTCTGATGGCAGGGGTTCAGGAAGGACCCTATTATGAGGAACAGTTAGAGCATCACTGTCCTCAGGAATCCTCATGATTTGTTAGCTGACGAGAGGTGGAGGGAGACAGAAGGCTAGAATGACTCCAGGTGCCAAGCTCTGGACAAGTTTGGTATAGACTGAAGAGTTCGCCGTGCCTGAGTGATAGCTAGTTTATCCCTTTGCACAGATGGAGAAATTGAGGCCCAAATCCGGTTTGCCCGAGGTCACACAGCCAGTATGTGGTAAGAGGCAAGGCTAGAATTGAGATTCTGTTTTGAAACATTTATTTGAGAGAGAGGGTGCACAGGGAGAGGGAGAGAAGCAAACTCCTCTAAACATGGAGCCCCGACACAGGGCTCAATCTCAGACCCTGAGCCAAAATCAAGAGTTGGATGCTTAACCGACTGAGCCACCCAGGTGCCCCCAGATTTTTCTTTAAGATTTTATTTATTTGGGGCACCTGGGTGGCTCAGTCGGCTCAGGTCATGATCCCCGCATTCTGGGATCAAGTCCCAGTCTGGCTCCTTGCTCAGCGGGAAGCCTGCTTCTCCCTCTCCTTCTGCCTGCCACTTCCCCTTCTTGTGCACACTCTGTGTCAAAAAAAAAAAAAAAATTTTATTGGGGCACCTGGGTGGCTCAGTCCTTAAGCGTCTACCTTCGGCTTGGCTCATGATCCCGGGGTCCTGGGATCGAGCCCCACATCGGGCTCCCTGCTCAGCCAGGAGCCTGCTTCTCCCTCTCCCACTCCCCCTGCTTGTGTTCCCTCTCTCGCTGTCTCTCTGCCAGATAAAAAAATCTTTAAAAGAAATTTTTATTTATTTGAGGGGCGCCTGGGTGGCTCAGTTGGTTAAGCGTCTGCCTTTGGTTCAAGTCATGATCCCAAGGTCCTGGGATTGAGCCCTGTGTCAGGCTCCCTGCTCAGTGGGGAGCCTGCTTCTCCCTTTGCTACACCCCTGCTTGTGCTTTCTCTCGCTCACTCTCCCTCTCTCTGTCAAATAAATAAAATCTTAAAAAATAAAAAAAGAGGGAGAAGCCGACTCCCCGCTGAGTGAGGAGCCCTGATGCTGGGCTCACTCCCAGGACCCTGAGATCATGACCTGAGCTGAAGTCAGATGCTTAACCAACTGAGCCACCCAGGAGCCCCTAGAATTCAGATTTTTTTAATGGTTACTTTTTAAATAGCACCTAGTTACGAGAATTGGGACAAATCTCCATTGTCTGGAAAGCTGGTACTTGGTTTGGAAGCTGGGGATGGGGCAGTGGAGAAAGAGGAAAGGAGACAGGGCCTCTGGAACTGAGCCCCTGGGGGAGTAGCAGAACAGATGTCAGGGCTAAGGGGGTTGAAGCAGCAGGCTCCCGCTTGTCCTGACAGCTTCTGCATCCCCCCCACTGGATGGTTCTGCCTTGTTTCCCCCTCCCCCACCCCCGACTGTGCTGGGGGATAGTAGAGCTGATGGGTTGCAGGCTTCACTTACCTTGGCGAGGCCCAGGTGTGTGCCTGTGAGCACTGGAGAAGGAGACCCAGATGAGAGCCCCGAGTGTGCCTTAGGATGACTCGCACGTGAGGTTAGTGCTCCTGGGAGGCCTCGGCCGTCTCACGTGTAAGTACACGAGTGGGAGGCCCAGGAACGTCAGCTCAGAGTGCCTGCGTGTCACCTGTGTGTGCTTCAGGGTGAGGGAGACCTGGGGGTGTTACTATTGTGTGCCTAAGGCTGAGTAAATGGTGTGTCTGAGAGACCCCATGTGACCTATGTGTGTGCATGGGAGCCTCAAGTGACAGAAATAGGAGCTCCAGAAGTGACTTACAGTAATCTTACAAGGAGCAGGGGACAGAATCTGTTTACCATAATACTTGAGTTTCAGACAGATCTTACCAGTATGTACCTGAGCAGGGCTGTTACCCGTGTCTACGTGAGAATGATACTCAGGTATGTTACTAATAGATGCTTCAGAGGAATCCCGTGTATCAGGTTACTAAGATGGGCCCCAGGTGAAACGTGGAGAGCGACAGGTACCTGAGGGCGAGTGCAGCTCAAGTGCTATTTCCAATAGGGCCGTTGTGAGCCCAGATCCCCCACCAGGCTTCTGCCTCCAAGGTGAGGCATTCCAAGCTGGCGCACCCCAGGCTGACCATCCCTCCTTGCTTTGTTCCCACAGGGCCCACCGCTCACCACCACCCCCAGGCCCAGAGGCCATGGCCTGCCTCCACGAGACCCGCACGCCCTCCCCTTCCTTCGGGGGTTTCGTGTCCACCCTAAGCGAGGCATCGATGCGCAAGCTCGACCCAGACACTTCCGACTGCACCCCAGAGAAGGACCTGACGCCTACCCAGTGTGTACTTCGAGATGTGGTGCCGCTCAGTGGGCAGGGTGGGGGCGGACCCAGCCCCTCCCCAGGTGGAGAGCCGCCCCCTGAGCCTTTTGCCAATAGTGTCCTGCAGCTGCACGAGCAGGATGCAGGGGGCCCCGGGGGAGCCACGGGGTCGCCTGAGAGTCGCGCGTCCCGCGCTCGAGCAGATGAGGTGCGGCTGCAGTGTCAGAGCGGCAGCGGCTTCCTGGAAGGGCTCTTCGGCTGCCTGCGCCCCGTCTGGACCATGATCGGCAAAGCCTACTCCACGGAGCACAAGCAGCAGCAGGAAGGTAGGCCGAGCCCTCGGGGGGCCCGCTGTCTCCCCGACATCTGTTGGACAGCCCCATCTATCACCTGAGGACCCTGTCCCCCTAGAGCCCAGCCATAGCCCCTCCTCCGTCCATGAGCCCTCAACTTCCCTGCTTCGTAGGGTGCCCGCCCGTTTCCTTACCTGTTCCCTCAGACCTCGCCTTCTTGGCCTCTTGTGGCTCATTTTCGGCCTCGGCCGCCGAGTCCTGTCAGCCAGCCCAGTGCTCTCCCCTGTGCCTGACCACCCTGAGACCCTACGTGTGGCTCTCTCTGAGCCTTGTGGCACTGCGTCTCCTGTTCACAGACCTTTGGGAGGTCCCCTTTGAGGAGATCCTGGACCTGCAGTGGGTGGGCTCAGGGGCCCAGGGCGCCGTCTTCCTGGGGCGCTTCCACGGGGAGGAGGTGGCTGTGAAGAAGGTACGGGACCTGAAGGAGACCGACATCAAGCACCTGCGGAAGCTGAAGCACCCCAACATCATCACCTTCAAGTAAGGTCCAGGGCAGGGGCTGGAGCCGGGGCCTCTGGGCTGTGGGCAGGGGGGAGCTGCTTGGGCGGTCAGGCCCCCCCCACCGCCTTCCCTAAAGGAGATGCCCAAAGGGGCTGGGTGGGAACGGGGATTCCAAGTGTGAATCCGGGGCATGCGATGCTGGCCCAGGCCCTGACGCCACTGTTTGGCCCCCAGGGGCGTGTGCACCCAGGCTCCCTGCTACTGCATCCTCATGGAGTTCTGCGCCCAGGGCCAGCTGTATGAGGTACTGCGGGCTGGCCGCCCTGTCACCCCCTCATTGCTGGTTGACTGGTCCATGGGCATCGCCGGTGGCATGAACTACCTGCACCTGCACAAGATTATCCATAGAGACCTCAAGTCCCCCAAGTGAGTAAGCCAGCAAGCACAGAGAAGCTGATGTGCATGGTCTCCTGCAGGTGACCTCACCTGTCAGTGTAGCCGTCTCCCTGCTTCCAGACCCTGTCCTAAGTCCGTGTGGCCATCTCAAAAACCCCTCCCAAATGACAATCCTATTTCGGGAGGGCTTTGGCAAGCCCCCGGCCTCTGGGTGTCCCAAATGACTTAAAAACAGAAAGAGTTGCTGCAGCTAGATGAGGTGTGGAGGGGCCTGGCCCCCAGCTGACTACAATCTTTACCAGCATGCTAATCACGTACGACGATGTGGTGAAGATCTCCGATTTTGGCACTTCCAAGGAGCTGAGTGACAAGAGCACCAAGATGTCCTTTGCAGGGACGGTAGCCTGGATGGCCCCTGAAGTGATCCGCAACGAGCCCGTGTCCGAGAAGGTCGACATCTGGTGAGGGCCAGGTTGAGGACGGAGACGGGCAGGTGGCCACCCCCAGGGAAGGAGGGGGCTTCCAGGGCCTCTGGAGGGAGCCCCTCCCAAGGGATGTCCCCTCTCATCCCCAGGTCTTTTGGTGTGGTGCTATGGGAACTGCTGACTGGTGAGATCCCCTACAAAGACGTAGACTCCTCAGCCATCATCTGGGGTGTGGGAAGCAACAGTCTCCATCTGCCTGTGCCCTCTAGCTGCCCAGACGGCTTCAAAATCCTGCTTCGCCAGTGTTGGTAAGGACGGCCTGGCAAAGCTGGAAAGCAAAGGGTGGTTTCTGGCAGTTAGACGGCACCTAGGACCCAGGCCTCCAGGCCCAGAATTCCGAACAGGGAAAGGACAGAACTCCCTGGTATGATTGAGACAGAACTCTGCAGCCTTGGGCAAGTGCCATCCTCCCCGAGCCCGTTTCCTGGTGTGTAAAAGGGGGACACTAGTCCCAGCTAGCCAGAGCGGCCGGGGTGCGCCTGTGAAGGGCTGGCACAGCCCCCGAGCATGGCCGCTGGAGCCTCGAGTTGGCTGCCTTAGAACACAGGAAGGAGGGTCCTCGAGGCTTGCTTGGAACCAACCTAGACTTGAAAGGAGGTTGACTAGATTTCTAATCTTTGGTTAACTATTTCCCAAAGTGTGTTTCCTTGCATGGAGTTACTCAGAAAAAGGTGTTTGGAAAACAGGATTAAATAGGTCTCCTTACTGCAGGCCCTCGATGTGCTAACGGATAGTAAAGCTAGTGGACAAGGGGCTTTGGTCACAGAGCACATTCCAGGATGCTGTTCTCCAGGGCCCACTTTGGGAAAGGATGCCCTAGTTCCTTTCTGGTCGTCCCTAAAATTTCCGTCTCCCGCCAACTCCACGCCCTCCAGGAACAGCAAACCAAGAAATCGTCCGTCGTTCCGCCAGATCCTGCTGCACCTGGACATCGCCTCAGCCGACGTCCTCTCCACGCCCCAGGAGACTTACTTTAAGTCCCAGGTGTGCTGTGGGCAGGAAAAGGCATACCCCAACTCCCCTGTCAGCAGAGAGGACGAGGCCCTCCGAGGGGAGGTGGGGAGGGGCGGACAGGGTGGTAGGTTCACTCTTAAGGGCCGAGACCCCATCCTGACCAGTCCCGTGCCTGCTCCTACTTGGCTCCCAGTCTGCAGCTCAAGGGAGGTCCCTCACCCCTGTCTCTTCACCCCCTAGGCAGAGTGGCGTGAAGAGGTAAAGCTGCACTTTGAAAAAATTAAGTCAGAAGGGACCTGTCTGCACCGCCTGGAAGAGGAGCTGGTGATGCGGAGGAGGGAGGAGCTCCGGTGTGTGCCTGTGTCTGGGAAGGGGATTTCGTCAACAGCGGGGACCGCGGACCAGTTCCCAGAGACTGGGACCAATTATGGCACCAGGTGACGCTAGCTCACCTCAAAGAGACCTCTCTGCCCGTTTCAGACACGCCTTGGACATCAGGGAGCACTATGAACGGAAGCTGGAGAGAGCCAACAACTTGTACATGGAACTTAATGCCCTCATGTTGCAGCTGGAGCTCAAGGAGCGGGAGCTGCTCAGGTAACCGTATGCGCCCTGTACACCAAATCTTGTCTTCATGGAGCTGTGACGCAGAGAACCTACTGAGCCTGGGTCCCCCTTTCTGATCACATGCCCAACTGAGGTATCTTGTCTTTAGGAGGGAACAAGCTTTAGAGCGGAGATGCCCAGGTCTGCTGAAGTCACACCCTTCCCGAGGCCTCCTGCATGGGAACACAATGGAGAAGCTCATCAAGAAGAGGAATGTCCCACAGAAACTGTCACCCCACAGTAAAAGGTGGGACCAGAGTTCAGAAGTGTCGAGGTTTAAGAATGGCAGGGGGAGTGCTAGAAGCAGGGATGGAGATCAAGGATGCCCGGAAGACTGAGCTGGGGAGGATGGACTTTGTACTACCCAAGGTTAGGGAGGGCTTTCAAGTTGGTAACTTTGTTCATCTCAGACTTGTACTTTCCCTCCCCTACCAGGCCAGATATCCTCAAGACTGAATCTTTGCTACCTAAACTTGATGCTGCCCTGAGTGGGGTGGGGCTTCCGGGGTGTCCTAAGGGCCCCCCCTCACCGGGACGGAGTCGTCGTGGCAAGACTCGTCACCGCAAGGCCAGCGCCAAGGGCAGCTGTGGAGACCTGCCTGGGCTTCGTGCAGCTTTGCCACCCCATGAACCTGGGGGACCAGGAAGCCCAGGGGGGCTAGGAGGGGGACCCTCAGCCTGGGAGGCCTGCCCTCCAGCCCTGCGTGGGCTCCACCATGACCTCCTGCTCCGAAAGATGTCGTCGTCGTCCCCGGATCTGCTGTCAGCAGCACTGGGAGCCCGGGGCCGCGGGGCCACAGGGGGAGCTGGGGATCCTGGCTCACCGCCTCCAGCCCGGGGAGACACCCCGCCAAGTGAGGGCTCAGCACCTGGCTCCACCAGCCCAGATTCACCTGGGGGAGCCAAAGGGGAGCCACCTCCACCAGTAGGGCCTGGTGACGTTGTGGGGCTGCTGGGAACTGGAAGGGAAGGGACGGCGGGACGGGGAGGAAGCCGGGCTGGGTCCCAGCACTTGACCCCAGCTGCATTGCTGTACAGGGCTGCTGTCACCAGGAGCCAGGTAAAGTACGGGGCGGTTCCTAAGCTCTTCCCCTTTCCTCATTCTCCCTGGGGCCCACGTCCATAACCCACCTCCTCTTACCAGGTCTTCACCTTAAGCCATTCCCTACCTAACCCTTGGCTATGTTCCCTTCTCTTGGGCCCTTGCTGACCTCTTTCCACTTTTGACCACAGTCCACTCCTCTCTCCTACAGAAACGTGGCATCTCATCAGAGGAAGAGGAAGGCGAGGTGGACAGTGAGGTAGAGCTGCCCTCAAGCCAGAGGTGAGTGACACAGCATGGGAGGGGATGACAGTGTTTTGCTTCAGGGGCTGTGGTGTGCCAACTGTAACCCTGGTCTCTCCAACATACAGGTGGCCTCAAGGCCTGAACATGCGCCCGTCACTGTCCACCTTCAGCTCAGAGAATCCATCTGACGGGGAGGAAGGCACAGCCAGTGAGCCCTCCCCCAGTGGCACACCTGAAGTTGGCAGTACCAACACCGACGAGCGGCCAGATGAGCGGTCTGATGACATGTGTTCCCAGGGCTCAGAAATCCCATTGGACCCACCTGCATCTGAGGTGGTTCCTGGCCCCGAACCCAGCTCCCAACCCATCCCCCACCAGGACCTACCCAGAGGGGAACAGGTGAGTTACAGAGACAACTAGGTACGTTAAGGAGCAGATGCTTAGTTCTTTAGGACCTAACGGAGAGAGAGATGAAGACACCAGAAAGAGGTATTTAGCCTCCAAGTCACTCAGTATGTGAGCCCAGTTCCTCCCGTACCAAGGAGCAAATATCCACAGGGTAGACTTTGGGGGTGAGAGGCCCACGGTATAGAGCACATGGTACGGTTAGTAGGTTAGCAGTGTTGCTTGAACGGTAGCTGTAAATCACAGCCAGGACAAATCCTGACACCGGGAACCTGGTGCCTTGGCATTTCATGGCCTCAGCTACTGAAATCTGAAGACCATGAAATCAGCGAGCTGCTGGCTATTACAAAGACCTCAGTGAAGGATCCTGAAGGAATCCATCCGTAACGCTAAGAGCTACCGAGCCTCACCTCACTGCACTTCTACTCTTCTTCACAGGGCCCTCCCACTAACGAGGACTCAGACTGTGACAGCACTGAACTGGACAACTCCAACAGTGGTGAAGCCTTGCAGCCTCCAGCCTCCCTCCCTCCATGAAAGCCACTCTTACTCCTGTACATAGAGAAATTATTTATATAAATAATATATAAGCGCCACATAATCAACAGAGAAAGATGGGGCTGTCCCAGCCTTAAGTCAGGCTCAAGGGAGTCTGACCCCTGACCAATTCACCTGGTAAATTCTAGGGCTACCGGCAGCTGTGGAAATGAAGGACAAGTATTACCCTAGAGCTGTGGGTACGGGCAAACTGGCCCCTTCCTGCTTCACCCCATTATGTTCCGCGAGCGGTAAGGCAATAGAAAAGCCAGACTTGCCTCTTACGTTCCTCTATACTCTTTTCCCCCTAACCCTGGGGAGGAGGAAAAGGAGCCACTTAGACTGCACTTTTTTGTTTTCCGTTTACTCTGTTTACACATTTTGCACTTGGGAGGAGGGAGACGAAGGCTGGGTCCTCCCCTCTGAGGTTTCTCAGGTGGCGATGTAACTAATTTCTTTGTCCCTCCATTTCTCTGCCCAAGCCCTGGCTTAGGGCCTAGGGGGAGTTTAGGAGATTGTGAAAGCATGTGATGGCTCAGGCTGAAAAAAGGGGATGATGTTTTAAGTCCCTGCTTTTATCCTGGCGCCTGACTGGGGTGGGGACTGTCATATTGTAACCCCTGTGAAAAATCTTAAAATATAACCACTCCATGCAGGCCCAGCTGTTGAGGGTTTTCTTGGTCAACGTATGGGGTAGTACACATGGTCAAAGTAGGAGCCTTGGGCTCCAGACATTATCTGAGGACTCTGGACAAGTTCTCTTCCCTCCTTTTATGTTTTTCCCCACTAAATGAACATCGCTTAAATTTCCAACCTTCTAAAATTATCTGTGTAAATGGTAGCAGGTACATCTTTCTGGAAGGGCTTTAGGAGGAGAACAGAAAATGTCAAAACACACATTTTTCTTATGGCGAGAACTGTAAATGAACAGTTATTCAAAACACGAGACTGGTTTTTAGCTTGGCCAAGGATGGGTCAGACATGCCCGGCAACCTAAATCCCAGGCAGACACACACGTACCCAACTGCTTCCACAGTAGGCGCGTGCATCCCTCCCCAGCCCCTGCCCACCCAGTGGAGGTGCTTCCCCAGTCTTTGCAGACCAGTCCTAGGAAAATGAGGTAAACGTGACCCCCGCACTTTCAGACAAAGGGCACACAGCTAGCCTGCGACAGCTATTTGGTTACTTTGCAAGGTAGGATCAAGGGAAAACTGGTTCAAGGGCTACAAAAAAAAAGATGGAGTGGTAAAACAGAAGGTAACATCTTAATGGAATAAAGGCTTATATTCAAAACCCAAGCAGGGTCCTTGTCCTTTGAGGCATAAAAGGTGCAAAAAGAACAGCAAGACAACAGGAATAAAACCCACATGAATCACTGTGGCATCCAGTTTCTATTCACAAAGAAAAAGCTCCAGTCCATCTTTTAATTTTTTTGAAAAATTCCTGACATTACAGAACTAAACTGAAATGTATTAATATTCCACTCTTACATTTCCATGACAAACAGAAAAAAAATTCATGAGCCAAAAAAAAGGGGGGGAGAAGCTTATAAAACTAAATATGGATCTCAGCATTAACAGCTGAACAGAGAAAGGAATTAAAACGCTTTAATTAAAAAATCACGAGTGGATGATAAAGTGTGTAGAAACTGAAAATTTACAAACTATTTAAAACCTGGAATCGCTGACTGTTCAGAAACTACACAGATGGATCATGGGTGGTGGTGAACAGCAGAAAGGGATTATGGATGAATCTGCATTGTTCTAGCTGCTCCCCATGCCACCCGTCTCCGAGGAAAGCCTGTAACAAAAAATAAACAAGAACTCAAAGTTAGTTTTCTGAATGCCCAGCTGTACCTCATCTCCGAAACTTTCAATGTCAAGGGAGGCATTTTAAGATTTCTTGGATTAACCGGTGCCATTGATCTCATAACCCCTGTAACCCAAGCTTTCTGAGGAAAATTATCCCAGAACTGAAGGAAACAGACTCTCGTTACCAACAGTGGGTGTTCCTCTAATTTGTGGGAGATGTCCAATGCTTTCCAGAAGTATGCCACACACTAAAACCTCCTCTTACAGGATCCTACTACACAGAAATACCTTTTCTTTACTGCTAAGCTTATTTTAGCTCCTTCCAAGCTACTAACAGAAAGCAGTTTAGAAACCCTTTATCTGAAAGTAGCCTCACGAAGCTAATGTTGAGACAGAGCAACAAAGGCTTTAGCTCTGGGGTTCTCTAGCATCGTGAAGGCTATTCCTATTCAGATAATATATAGTTTTAAACGCTAGGGAATGTTAAAAAGGGAAGAGCAGGTATAGTAAGTATAGTCAAGAATTACACCCAACCTATCGTCTTCAGACTTAAAAAGCAGAGGCCACATGTTTCAACAATTCCCTGGTTCCTTCTAGAAGTTCCCAAACCTTGGAATCCTTAGGCTAAACTCTCCATTCAAACATACCCAGCCAGCTACAATGCCTTTCTGCCTCAAATAATATCATTTGAGGTCCTGGAACCCAATTCTGAAGTCTGGAACCCAATTTCTGAAGGAAAATTATTTAGGTATTTATAGCCTGCTTCACTGAGTATTACGTACCCAGCAAATCTTAGCTCCCGCTTTGAATAGAACTAAATGTGTAAGACTTAGTTTCAATTCATAAATTTATTTTATTAGGATTTCCAACTGACTGGCATAACCTATTTGTGGTATCTGGTCAAGAGAAAAATGGTACTTTGCCATCTCTATGCCTTCCACAACAATGCAAAGCCGGGGGGCCGGGAGAACACAACACCCAAGAACCAGGGAATAGGTCCTTCAACTACAAACTGTATTTAAGTCTGAAATTGTATTTCTACCTCAGCATAAAGGGGAATAGTTAGTTCTTTTAAAGGAGGCAGATTCTTGCCAATCTCAAGATAGGATGACCTAGGGAAATATAAGCAGTAAGCCCTGAACCTAAGAGTTTAGTGGGGAGTGAAGGTTCAGGAAGGAGCTGCTGTGAACAGTTTAGATGTAGGACCTACCTAAAGAAAATTAAGTTCATGCAAGAAGGTGATGGCACTCTGGCAACAAAAAGAGCTCAAAAAGAACTATCCAGAATTTATTTACAGCCTAAACAGCGACTGAGGCAGCGGGTGCAGAGAGGGCAAGAAGGGAAAACCCAACCAAAGTACCATGGTAAGGACTCTATAATAGGACCACATGGGGGACCCAAAAAATTTGTAAGAATTTAACACCAAGTTGTGGTGGCAGCTGCACCTTAAACATCTGCCTCCTTCCCTGCACTCCTCTGTTAGGGAGTACTCATTAGGTAAAGAGGCCTTCTAATCAAGAACTAGATAAAATAAAACCTGGTCTCTGGGGGGAGCTGGTACCAGCAAAATTAAGTCCTAGAGAGAGCTTAATAAGGGAGAGCTGGACCATATGACAAAGGAGCAACCAGCAACTAAGAAGAGGAAACTATCTGAACAATGAAAAGAAGGCTGTTCCTCTAGTCCTTCGTGCAAACTTGGGACATGTAACACTAGTTTCATAGGCCAAATCTGGATTGAGGGACCACAACACCATGAGACAACACACTGAAATACTTATCAGCAATTACTTTTTTTTTAATACTATAAACCAAATGAGATGTGGGAAAAGATCAACAAGAAAAAAAAATCTCTACACTAATTCTCTATGCTCTAAGGAAGAGCCATATGCTTTCAGGTTGAATAGACCATCAGAGGCCTTCTGCCATCATACCTACAACATTTCTAGTCTTTAATGGAGAGATAGCTGTGGTCTTAGTATAAGGAAAATAAAGCTTCAGGGAGATAAAGGACACTTGAGTAAAAGTAAAGCGCAAGTTGTTAGTGCTGATTAGTCACTCATGTGATCTGTGAATTTAAATTCTCCAACGCTTTTTTTTTTTAATCTGATAAATGAGTGGATTGGTGAGTTGCAGTTGATCTTAAAGGTTCCTTCTAAATCTAAGTTCATAATTCTCTACTCATGACAGGGTTGGTGGGAGACAAGGGGGGGGGCAGGGAATGGAAGGAAGGTAAAGGGACTTAGTAATCAGGGTGGGTTTAGGATGACTGGAGAATCCTGTCAAATTTGGGTGATGTTACAGGTTGGTTGTTCAAGATTTACCCAGTGTCACAGGAAGAGGGATACTTCTCATTCAGAGAAATGCAGACAAAAGCCAGCAAACTTTATTAGACTTTTTCCAACTTGCCTCCCCATTCTAGGTCAAGAAGTAACTTCTTTATATGTATGCTCTGTAAAAGATCCTCACAGTAACCACTCACCAGAGGAAACAATCTTGGGATGGACACCCTTGTTACCTGCTGCTGTTGGCAAGGCAAGGGATCTGAGGAGTCAGAGAAACTGGTCTTCACTAAAGCATCTTAATGCCAATGAAGAAGACCCTCAGGATGTAACCAGCTACAGGCTCATCTCCTTTTGTGGGGAATGACCAAGGACTACTACTAAATTCACCAGGGACACAAGCAGGCCCGAGTCAGTCTTACAAGACTCCCTAATTGAGTAGCCACAAGTCACAAGTTCCCACCCCTTTGCCCTTCACAGCACACAGTCAACTAAAGTTCTTACTGTGGCAACTTTATTACAGCTAGAAACACAAATCTGGCCAAGACGGCCTGCTGATAACTTAACCATTAAATAATTAAAAAGGGGGGGGGTTAATGGAGAAGCTTTTATTCATTAACACAGAGCCTAACACATTGTTATATTGCAATGCAGAATAAAGCTACAAAAAAGTAACAGAATGAAAAGGAAGAGCAAGATGTGGCTCTAGATAAAGAATTCAACAAGTCAGACTCTGAAACAGGCACTCAGATGAAATGGCCTAACCCTAACCCCAGGTTACCGTTACCCCCACCCCCACCCTGTTATGCCCCAAAATAGTAAAAAGGAAACGGTCACAAGCTCACAATTGTTTGGTTCTCACCAATGTTAACAAAGAAAAACAAAATGAACCAAGAAGTACTTGAGGGGGTGCCTCAAGATATTCAATCAGTAGGGGGAGAATCTCTGTTTCTCGCCTTTCAGTTTGTTAGTTACACATGGCACGGCAGAGGTGGTGGTGGTAGTAGCTGAAGCCCCGGTACCCTTAGCAGCAGACACAACATTTAGAGCCAGGAGAGGGATGGGTTTCATGCCAAGCAGACTGGAGACACAAGGGGCGGTCGGAAGAGGGTTGGGGAGGCTGGAGGGTGCGTCGGAGGTCCCCGCTGTGGCGAGCGAGGGGGTGGTGGTGGAGGAGGAAGAAGAAGAAGAAGGGGTGGAGGGTTGAGAGAGGTTGATGCTGAGGTGATCAGGGATCGTGACGGAGGCTGCCTGGGAGGAGGGTTTAGCGTTTTCTAAACTGTAACAGAGGAAAAAAGGAACAAAAAAAAAAGGGTGGGTGGAAGGGAAGACCACAAAAGGGAAAAAGTACAGGACAAAAACCGCTTGTTATCAGTTAAGTGCCTCTGGCTGCAAATTAGGAAGACCTAATACCAACTTGTGATAAGCTGCCCCTCTTTCAGTCTGTGTCCCACCCTCTAAAAAATGTATACTTTACCAAATCCCATCCCACAACGCTATTTAAAACTGCTATGGTGAAGAAAAAGCTGATAGACTGAGAAAAGAAATACAGAGCACACTTCCACGTATCTGACATGGGATCCAACCCAGGCGTCAGAAAGAAATAATTTCAAAGTAGAAAATGAAAGAGAATTCATAGCAATCACCAAACGAGGAACAAAGGTCTCACACCCACCAATCCCTTGTGAAGGTGTAGAATGTTATTCTATAGAATTAGAAACCTTCCCCCCAATGCTGAAGTGTGCTTCCACTTTATACAACAAACTAACCAATGTATAAGGATGGGAAAGGACAAGAAACCAAAGTACGTCACTAATTTCAAAACTTCAGAGGATGTAGCATTTTCAAAGAAAAATGCTGAGAACAAAAGTGTAGATAACAACTAGGAAAACTTCATTTCTGGTGAGAGGTGGGGCTGAGGAAAAAAAGCCCTTTGTTTTTGACTGAACATACTTCAAATACAGACCTCAGAGAACTGGAAGATACTCAAGCACTCCTGAAAAATTAGTTTAAAAATGTAAAAATACCGCCTCTACGCCTAAAATAAAAGTCCAATAGCCATAATGATCAGCAACTCCCAAATGCCCACACTTCTAAGCCAGAACTACAGTTATTTGTTGAAAACTGTCCGGACAACCTACCCCACAAGATTGACTCTTCAAGGGCAGGGACCCTCCTCTTAAGATTCCACCTTGTTTACCTAAGTCCAGAGAACATTACAATCTACAAAGCAGGAGATAAAGAAAGGACTCAGGCTGACAGAGTAAGAGCAGAAATGCTCAGAATCCATTACCGAAAGCAGAGAAATCTTTCTTGCCTGGTAGTAATAAAACCAGTTCGCTTTTGCGTTCAAACTGGGCCGAGATGGGAGAGTGAAGAGTAAGCTTTGTGCATGTATGATTTCTGTTTTGGTGTTAAATGAAGCTTCACAAAGGTGTGACCCAAATCCATAGTTTGGACAGTTTCGTGAAATGGGATGACCCTAAATGGCCAGCCATCCTATAAGGAGGATCCTGAAAAAAGTGACTGAATGAGGAAACTCAGGTGGAGATGTTCTGCTTCCTTACGTTGACACCGTCCTAAGGTCAAACAAACCACTTCCATTTAAGCACTACCTGACAACATTTAGGGCAAGCCTACCCAAGCAGAAGAAAACAATCCCCAGCTTCCAAGAACATGAATCTTACCACTTAACACCCACCCTCCCCATACCCCAGTTAGAAACAAGAAAAACCTTTACGAACAGCCTCTGCAGAAAGCTTACTACGATCTCCCACTGAACATGAAGAATCTGATGTGCTTGGTAGCTAAAGTAGATCTAGACACAGAAGAGTCTTTTCTACATGAATACTAGTAAATACCTCAAAGCATTAAAAGGCTTAGAGCAAAAGTCAAAACCACTGGGGAACTGATAAATTCTTAACCAGGAGATAAAAGACAATGGAATAAATACAAGGTCAGTGTAAGCAGAACAAAATAGTATGAATTCCTTTCCCCTGTACTAGATTCAGGAACTCAGAACACCTTTTATGCACAATAAAAAATGAACAGTTATGACAGAGTTAAGTGACTAGACAAAAATCTACACGAAAAGGATGGCTAAGCCCCTTGGGAAATAGACTGCTAACCCCAGCTTAGCATGTGAGTAAGCAATTAAGAACGTGACTAAAGCACATGTGCTGAGAAAGCAAGAAATACAAATGCCTTGTAGGATGTCCACCAGACCCCGAACTATGGCTGTTGTGTGCAGTATCATCAGCTAGGTTTGGGTGAGGAGAATAAAACCTCAGGAAGCCATTATGGTATGAGATGGTGGCAAAAAAAGAAAGAATAGAGGCTAGGCATTTCTGAAATAGGCCAAAACCTGTGCCTCCCCTTTCCCACAAGCTCTGAACAATGGAGCAATTTGCAATTTGAGAAAAATGGATGTTTTCAGAATAAATGGTAATCGCTGCTTCCAAGAAACTGCCTTGCCGTCACATTACTTCATTATCCTTACTCCAATTAGGGCGCTTTGGAGACTAAACCCCATCCATGAAATATTGGTCTATGATATGTACAGAAAAAGACCTACATTTGCTTCTTAGTCAGTATGGACGCTCCAGCCAGAGCACTATCCTACTAGTGAAAACCTGCTCTACTCTTTCCATGCCTAAAACCATCAAGTCAAATGCAAGCGTTCTATTCCCCTCCCCCATACAAATTTATTACAATCTTGTTACTTTTCCTGCTTGCTACACTAAGAATGGATCAAAGCAGGGCTAGACTTTAACTTTATTGCCATCTCCACCCATCCCCACTCCCATCCCCCAAATATTCCCACATTTAATAATACACTGTAGCTTTCCCCAACACACACATTACTTGTGTTGCCAACAATAACACAAAAGGTAGAGAGGGAACCCTTACCTGACATTGATTAGATATTGAGCCAGGCTAATGCTGGCAGCAGATCCAGTGATGGTAACCTGCCTATCAGTAGATCCTTCCACTGGGTTCGCAATTTTGATCTGCGCCCCAGACATCTGACGGATCTCATTGATTTTGGCGCCTTGACGCCCGATTATGCAGCCAATCAACTTAAGAAAAGAAACAACAAGGCATACCAAAATTAAGAGTTGCATGGCTAGGTCCAAGAATTCCATCCCACCCCTCCAGTCGTCTATAGCTTGGATCCACAATAATGGCAATGGAAACTACTGTCCGCATCCTACACACCCTACTCACATACTCCTGATTAAAAAACTTGATTCTAGATTGCATCTCCACTCTTGTCCTAATTTTGTCTGACTACCACAGATCAGAGCCAACTCTCAGCGGACTGACTCCGAGGAGCATTAGCTCATTTCCTAGAGTACCAATCCAAAGACAAAATAAAGCAGAGCCAACAGCCTAACAAACCAGTTTCCCATGGCTAGGGATAATAAAGGTCTCTGGTGTTTGGCAACAAAGATGCCTAAACTCATCCTGCTATGATTACCATTTTAATATACTGACAAGAATTCTGCCTAATTTATAATGCTTTTGCCTCTAGAAAAAAATAAAAAAATTGGTCTAAATTCATATTGTCCAATACTGTAGACACTAACACGTGATTATTGAAAACCTTTAGAGTGGCTACTGAGACTGTGAAATTGAGATTATTTTATTATTCTCACAATTTAAATAGCCACATGTGGTTAGTGACTACCATGTTGGACAGAACATTCAATGGCCGCTGCTTTAAGGATAAGACTTCAGATCATCCAAGAAACTAAGGCCAATGGGAATTTATATCTGAGAGAAAAATGGTTTTCTCCCTCACGATACCTCAACCCAATAGTTTTACCTATTTTCTCCATCAGTTTTTATTTGATTCTACATACTTTTAAAATTTTAATTTGGAATCTAAAAAAAACCCCATTTCCTTCCCTAGGCCTTAAGAACGGCATGACTGCATCAACTCTTATTTTTATCCCATGCAACCCTATTAATTATACTCACATCATTTGGAATGGTGAGTTCATGAGAAGTAGTCTGAGCAGATGCATCCAAACCTGCTAAAAGACAGAAGAGAGCAAGGAAGTTCAATGCATAGCAAACAAACCCCCACTGATCTGCACATTAACCTAACAGAAGGAAACAAACTGGAAACCCAGCATTGGCTGTTGGGATTCATCACTAACTTGGAAGCCTCCAAGGAGGAAAGAGGGGGAAAGGGGTACAGAAATATGCTGGAAAAGTTCCTCTGTAAACTCAGAAAAGCTGATTTCATGCCATTTCCTGCAAAGCCCAGCCTATTAGGGTGTAAGTGGATGGAAGCCAGGGGCAAGGGAATGTGGTAGGACCAAAATCTAACCAAATCCTTCTGCACTGCTCCCCTTTTCTGCTTAGGATTTCCTGCTGCTGTTGTGTTCCAATTTTATCTCACCTGATGCTCACTAGCACCAGTGCCAATATCATGCCTGTTACTGGGTACCATGGACTTTTGGCAGACATGCAGAGTTGCTTTAAATATACCTGTATCAGATTAACACCTCCCCCAATCCTAACCTACACTTGAAGGTCAAATAGAATGAAATGGCACCCAGGTGAGGGAAGTTCATTTCTCCAGATTTATTCCCTGACTTTTCCTCAATTGCTCAGTAATTTGTTCTGGTTTTTATTTTGTTTTCCAAAGAAAAAGAAAAAAAAATCCCATCAGCAAACACCCATAACCCATCAATAATATTGACACCTGGAAAGGACCAGGCTGGCTGGCTAATTCTCAAAGCTAGTCTTGCTCTCAGCTGTGGCCTCTAAACTCAACATTTTTAGAAGGGGGTTGGCCAGATCCATCAAGGGACCCTCAGGGGCACCAGGCCCACCCCTTTGCTCTCTCAGCTCCTTTCTGCCATGTGCATCTTGCTGGTATGTCATGGGCAGTGAAACAAGACTCCCACCAGTTTATTAATATAACAGTAGAATACTACAGATTTTTTTTTTTAATCATTACCCCAATAGCCTTTCACCTCTGGAGAGCTGGATTCAATGCCTGTTAAGATACAAGTGAAAATGAGTTTGGTGGTCTCATCCTAACCCTATCGGACAAGTTATTCCTTATACAGAAAAAAAAGCCCCAAAAACAAAACAAAACAAAACCAAAAACCACTACACAATTTGGCACAAATGGATTTTCTACCCAGATCTGTGAATAGCTGGTGGAGAGAAAGGGGGTGCCAATCAGATCAAAGGGGCAGCAGTGAGGATGGGAAGAAATATTAGCCTACCCTTTGCCTGACAAGCATCCCCAGACCTCACCCCAAACCTTCCAGGGACTTTTTTTTTTTTTTTTTTTTAAAAGAATAACTCACCCCAAATGAAAACCAAGTTAACAAACACATTACCTCCTTCGGTTTAGCGATAGAAGACAGGCAAGTTTAAACCAGCAGGATGCTGGGTAATGAAGTATGTTTTAAACAGATGTCAAACTGAGACCTTGGGGCTGGCCTCTGTCTTGCACTACACTTTACAGAAATAAACACTGAGGTATCCATACCACTGAATCCGGTGTTGCCATGCGTCATGGGAAAATGAGACTGTTGCATTGCCAACTGGTGCAGCTTGGTCAACTGCAGGGAGGAAACAGGAGAGGTTGGCATTAGAAGAGTAACAGAGTCAGGGCTCAAGCATATTCAAATTTGAAAATGCAGAGCTCCTGATCCCCAAAGTTGACTCTACTACTCAAACTACAACACAGGGTAAAGATGGGACTTATACCACAATCCTGGAGATGAGCAGAATTATGAAAGTAAGAGTTAGAAATAGAAAGGGCATCAGTACAAGAGAATGAATGCATTTTGGGTGTGTGAAAAGAAAAGCAGCAGCACCTGCCCGACAACCATCCCCTTGTGGGCTACTTAATGAAGGTGTTTGCAGCCATTGCAACAGTTGCCCCCGGGACAAGCACAGACAGGCTAGGTAAACAAACTGTGCAGTGGTGCTAGCGGAAACACACCATGCAGGGTTGTTTCAGTACTGGGAGAAGGGAAGGAGATGAGGGGGCAGGGAGACTGCAAGGAGGAGAGAGATTAAGATGAAACCAAACTGGGCTCAGCCCCACCCCCTCCCATTGGATTTCTACAGCTATTTTTCTTCACCTATATAAACTCTCCTGGCTGTTGTAAAACAATCCCTCCTCAAGGCTACTTCCCCTCCTGGGCCAAGCCAAGAACCAAACCCAACTTCCCAAGTCTAATGCTCAGCACCTGAAAAGGTTAGTAATGACAGAGGAAAGTGCAGAGAGAATGCCCTTACGCGAAGTTTGAATACCAGCGCTTTTAAATAGAGTGTTTAGTGGCGAGAAAGGTTTTATTGAGTCGAATCCCCAAATATTCAGCTTATCCCTCCCTGTGCAAAATAAGCCCCTTTCCCACCCGCCCAGATGCTTTTTAAATTATCACCTCAAATTGAGGAGTACCCAAAGACAAACCCAACCTCCCACCCCACCCCCCATGGAAAGGACTCTATAAAGAGATACACAGTCCACTGTCAATTTATAACTGTGCCCTGGAATAATAAATCACAATATACTGTGGAACACTTCTTTTAGATAGAATAATCTGGAATATGGGGAAAGCAGAATCTAATAATCTGCTGAATTCAAATTTCCAATGATTATGTCAAAAAGCAAACAAGATGCTACTGTGGCCCTGATTAAAGATTATTTAAGACCCAAAATATGAGGTTCACCTTGTGAGGAAAATACTATAAATGTTTAAGACCCAACTCACTTCTGCCTATGTAGAAGAAAGAATAAAAACAATTTTGGATGGGAGAGGGAGCTTTTCAAAACAAGAAGTGAAAACAAAACTTACATCTGGCTGTGGAATGGCATACTGTCCTTGAATGGTATAGGCCTACAAAAGGAGGAAAACAGTTCCTATTAAAAAACCAATCACGGACAGCCACCCAGTGGGAGAAGGGGAGACAGATTTCAACTAGCCAGGAAGCCAGAGTTGAACTAGAGATGGGGGAGGCCAGAGATTGAGGCAGTAGATGGTATCTCACAAACACAGTCAGACCTGAGTTGGCCTTCTTTGAAACCTAAATATGATGCCTTATTCCAGGAAGCCTATGAAGGGAGCCATGTTCCCTGCAATCAAAGGCAAAATACACATTTGTTTCTTAAGGGAAAGGTGGGAAGTTGGATTAAGCAATGCCTCCTAGATTGACCAAACCCCCTTCTTTTTCCCTATATACAAGACAGCCTAGGAGGAAAATGTTCTCTTCCCTCAACCACCCCACCCTTATATACCGGTCATGGTGACATGAATGATTTGTACTTGCACAAACCTACGTGGCATGTTTTGAAACACTTCCCTTTCCCTATCCCTATCTTATTTTTCTCTACATCTGCCTAAAGACGTTAAATGCACTGGAAGCTAGTGGAGTACCTAACACTAGGGAGCTGATCACAGGAATGCAAAATAAATAAAAACCAATCACTGTGTTCTAAACCCTGCACCTTCTCCCACCTCCCCCTCCATAAAAGGCCCTTGCAGCTCCCACTACACCCTCCTCCCCCCACACCATAACCTCCAAAAAGGGAGCTGGGTCTTCAGGGCAATGGGGAGGGAGACAAGGAGGAGGAACAGGGAGGGAGGGGAAGGAGTGGCTGGTTAACAGGATGTGAAGCTTTTCACATCACAGTGGCCAGTACCCCCAAAAGTGCACCCAGGTGGGGGTAGGAAGGTGAAAATGGGGTAGGAAGAGTGGGAGATGGGGAAGAGGGATTGAACAACAAAAAAAAAGGAAAAAAAAGGAAAAAAAAAAAAAGGAAAAAAAGGAAAAAAAAAGAAAAAAAAAGAGAGTTGGTGTTACCATCTGGTGGGCTACGCGGCCTGTGTGAAATGAGGTGGGGGGGGTCAGTCCAGGTCCCCGTGGACAGGTGGTGTCCACAGCATAAAAATCACCAGCGCCACTGGCCCCCCGCGTGTTGGCAGTCTCGGCTGAGGCGGAAGGATTGAGTGAGCCTTGGAGACTGAACATCCCCTCTCACCTCTAGAGGTGGTCCCTCCAGGTCAGGGTTGAGGCACATGGACGGGGTGGTGTGGGGAAAGCTCGCACTGTCGCTGCCTGTGCTGTACCTGTCCTGTGGATAAATAGAGGATTTCAGTCTCCAGGGCTGTCAATCCGGCACCTTGTCACCAGCATGAAATTCACACAAAAAAAGTTGTTTAATTTTTTCTTTTCCTTTAAAAAGGAGCTCACGACACAATTTGAAACGAGCTGCAATCAGTGAATTTAAAAAAAAAAAAGTTACCTTGTGGCAGGTATCACACTGCACAATTGGGCTATTTTCAGTAAGAATGAAGGGATGGGGCAACAGAGCTGATGCCAGCTACTGGTCAGTGTGGGATTAAGTCGAACCCCTACAGAGCCCACTTTTGTCACAAAGGAACAAAAGATACAGGTCCATCTGTGGACGTTGCATGAACCAGTCCATTTAAAAAGGCCCATGGGAATAATCAGGGCCACTCATGAAAGAAGCTTCGCCTTTAGAGGGTGGTCAACTGAATAAAGGGGGGGGGGGGGGGGGGGGGAAAGAAAAGGGGAAAGAAGGGGGGGGGTGGAAAAAGGAAGAAAGGAAAGGGAGATGAAGAATTATAGAGAGGATTGCTGCTGCACAGCATGGGACTCTTTATAATCCCAAATGGGAGTGGAAGAATCCAGAAGAGCAGGAACCTAGAGTTTCTGGGGAGAAGGGAAAACTCCTAAGGCTAAGCCTCCTTGCTATACTGACTCTGGGCCTTTGTTTATCCTGCCTGATTATCCAGACTGACAGAACCCTTTAACCAATCTGGTTTAAACAAAGCAAGGTACTAAACTGTCTCAAGGTAGCACTGCAACACGATTTCTTGTGAAAGCTCCCAGAAGCACATGACAAACTATGTCCCCAAAATCTTGTTCAGTTTTATGCCAACTCAAAATAGAATGTGAATGAGATGGACTTCAAGTTTTTGCTTCCCCCAATTCAAAAACAAGATGGAACTAATTGAGTTAAGTGTGCTTGTAACAGGCCAGCCCCTCACTGGGAAAAGGCATTCTGAGTAATGCACTTGCTTAGGCAGCCACCAAAATGAAGGTCACTATTTCAACCTGAACCCCAACATTTACAAAACTGACCTACCTACTTCTTAAATACTAACCAACGAAGCATAAAACTATCATGGTTCTATTCCATGCTCTTGTCATACAAATCTGACTTCAGAATAAACCATGTGCCAAAGATCAAGAGTTTAGGTGGGTGAAGTAGAAAGAGGCCAAGGGGGTGCTTTGGTGTTCTTACTCTAACACCAAACATGATAGCACCACAGCCCAACATGCTCTCCCCCTTCTATTCTCGTACACTGAACCCTTACCCCGGCTGGTTTCAGTTATGCCATGTGGGTTCAAACCAGCGTTTATGAGGTTAAGAGCCTGGGGGAACAATTCACTGGAGTTTGGGAGTGAAGGGGTAGGAGTAGGGGAGGTGAGGTGGGGGGGAAGGGGAAGTTTGTAGGACACTCAAGTTTAGGACCCCCCAATTTTGAGACCACCATCCAGAATCTCCTTCAGAGGTCCAGTTCTTTGCTACTTTTATTCAGACCTCTAAACAACACCCCACACATAAAAAAGCATGGATGGGGTGGTGGGAGAGGAAGAGAAGTAGTGACACCAAGGCCATTTTACCCTTTCTTCTAACCCAACCCACCTTAAATTACCAAATAAATTCCCCCTTCCGAGTGCCTACAAAACTCCCACTGTCTGCTAAAAATTAAGTAAGGGCTTGGCATTCATAGCTTTCTCCAGTACAAAAAAATAAAACTAAAAGCAGGTCAAACTAATGGCCAGAGTACAGGTTTCAGCAAGCATGCAGAGTGGCCTGGTGTGCTGCTGGCAAAGTTGACATTTCAAATATAATCCTTGTTCATTCTAGCCCACCAATAAGAACCTTCTTACCTGACCACCTGCAAAGATGACTGGAGAACTGGACGGCTTGGGCCGGTACGGGATGGTCACGCCCTTCGGGGGGGACTGGGAGAGAGTCAGAGGGGAAAAAAACAAAGAGAGATAAGGTTTCAAAGCTGCTTCAGCTGTGTGGCTTAAGCTCACACAGATCAGTTAAATTAAAAACTGTATTAATTTCCATCCCCTCACCTACCAACGTTGTCTCTGGCTAGATCTAATCTCAAATCATCTGCAGTTATTTGCCTTTAAAGCAGTAAGATGGGTCCGTGGACTACACAGCTCACACTAATTCTCATCAAGGTAGATTCCCCTGTAATAATTTATGCATTATTCCACGTTTTCAAATAAACCTAATGAACATGACAAACCTCTATGCATACATATATAGTTGGCAATTTAGGATCTTACATTTTGGCCTATATAAAAAATGAAGCCAAAATAGGAAATAAAGTACCCCAGTATTATGCCTAGAATAATAGACACTGTCAAGAAAAATAGTTCAAAGGTTCAGTCAGCGTTTTCCTAAACTCTACTCGAAAATCCTACTTTCCTCTCTCATTCAACATGGGACCAATTCCATTATAATTCTAAAAAGGTTTATTTTCCCTTAATTTTGCTATTCTTATTTTAATTGAACAACATGTGCTACCAGGACCTCATAAATCATTCAAAATTATGGATAAATCTTCTCTTATATAAATATCTTGAATATAATCCTGCCTTAAAACAGAAATTAATTTGAAGAATGCGTCAAAGTTGCACATAGCCAAAATACTGTAATCCAAAAGGCAACTTAAACTCAGCTTCTCAGGAACCCAGTTACATCTTTTGTCCATTCAGTCCAAGTAGTGAATCTTCCCCTACCAACCCTACTAGAATTGCTGTAAACCAAAAGATCACTGCTGCTTAACAGTTTCTATTTTTGCTCAGACTGTAAGAAAAGTCAAAGCTGGGGGGAGGAAAATATGAACTCAGGGAACCTCTTCCCCACCCCCACTGGAAGCTTCTAACAGCTTCACCTAATTCTAGTCTTACTAAATATAGATCAGTCTGTCTCCCTAGAATCACCCTCCCCCCATTCTCAGCATGAGCCTGAGGGCTTACCTCCAACATGACCACGCAGATCTGTTTCACACACTCAATGATGGATTGCGGAATGCCAGCAATAGTGATGGCCCGCTCAGTTGAGTTGGGGAGCATATCCCCTGCCACCTGGACCTGAGCCCCTGTACTCTTTGGGGTAAAAAGAAATTTTAAAAATCAGATAAAAACAGCTCATACTCTTCCAATTCCCCAATCAGCGATTTTAGAGTCTAAAACTCAGTAGAGATACTTATCCCATCTCCTATTTTACCCTTTTTATCCTCCCTTCCCACTCTTCCCTTATTCCAGATAGGACTGTTTAATCACAGTTATAAATAAATTAGGCTCTGAAAGTCAAGAATAAACCTGAATAACAGCCTAAATTTAAGCTGTTCTCAAGAAAAAGGCCCTTCTAGAAATGATGGCTAGCTAATGATAGCTTCATGGGCCATCAAACAAAATCTCCGCAAGTATCATCCACTTTTCATTCTCTTATTGAACAAATATTTATATGAAGTCCATTCTATGTGTCAGGCACCATTCCGGGTGCTTGGAATACATCAAACAAAACCAAAATCCCTGCTCTCATGGCATATACAATAAGCTCCTGAAAACTCCTTTAGGAGCCACTCAAATTTCATTCCAACATCCAATTCAATAACTCCCAGATCCTATTAAAAGCTTCCATAATTCAATGTAAATGCCACAGTTTAAAAGAGAGCACAATTACAACTACATCCTAATATACCTTCCTGTTTTCCCCTTGCTTAGTAGGAGTTTGGCCAAAGAAAATATATGCTACTATTATATATCAAACTGTAATCTTCTTAGAAGACATAAAAGAAAGTATGTAGTCTCATGGAAAAGTTGCCAAATTAAAAAAATGGAAACGGGGCGCCTGGGTGGCTCAGTCAGGTGTCCGACTTTTGATTTCAGTTCAGGTCATGATCTCAAGGGTAGTGGGATCAAGCCTCATGTTGGGCTCCGTGCTGGGCAAGGAGCCTGCTTGGGATTCTCTCCCTCCCTCTGTCCCCCCCACTCCCCAGCACAGTGCTCTCTAAAATAAAAAGGAAAAAAAAGAAAAAAGAAAAAAAAAGGAAACCGGTCATATTCAACAGTTAGAAATTCTGGTTAACCTTCTGACTTGTTATGACATTATGAATTGTTAAAAAAGAAAAAAAACTACACATTTTTATGTATTCATCAATGGTACAATCCTTTTCTTCCCAATACAAAATCAAATTGTAATCATCTAGGACTGTTACTTTAATAATCTTCAATTCAAATACGAACTTTTCCTAGCCATACTAAGAGCTATTAATAGAGGAAGCCACATTTAGAATAAACATTCTGAAACAACAGAAGTTACCAACCTCTCGTATTTCTTTGATCTTGCAACCACCTTTCCCAATGAGAGAGCCACACTGACTAGCAGGGACCACCAGCCTCAGGGTAACTGGGGGTCTACTGGCAGCTGTACTATTGGTCATAGAGCTGCTGATGTCCTTCAAAAAGAAATCCATCAGAACAAAAGAGTAAGTTTAAGCAGATCCCTGGGACCCGTAACTGCTATTAACAGAACCGTTTTAACCTTATAAGGGACACATTATGTCATGATCTACCATCAGCGAAAAGTTCAAATATTGCCTCCCCCGCCCCCAAAACAACGACTTCTGAGAAGATAAAAAATACCTACAAATTTCCTCAGAATTAGCCCTAAATACAGTTTCCTTCATTGGGGGGGGGTTGTAGGAAGAAAAATGAGTATTAGTTTTCGAAATTAGAGCTGACTGCAAAGTAAAACAATATTGAAGTCAAAATTAAATAAAATATTAAAAGATGAAACAACGCAACCCAATATTCAAAGACCCAATCCTACCCTCTTAGAAAACTGGGATTTAAGTTGTGTACTTCTTTGTCTCATTATTTTAATTTCTTGCTATTATCACCATCATACAGATAATGAAATTGAGGCCAAGTACTCACCACCCCAATCACATCTAAAAAGCTATAGATTTGAAATTCAAAGATTGTATTGGCTCCAAAGCCCACCATCTTTCCCATAACAATATGCTACATCCAAAAGTCATGGTTTTAACCTAGTTAAATTTAGCCTCCCGAGGATTAAGTGGTTTAAACATAACTTCTCAGCCTAATCTCTATGCAGTAGCTGGACCTGGAAAGTGCTTAAACGTAAGCCCTTAAAGTCAAGGACATGTTAAACTATGAACAGATCTTCTGAATGTTTTTTAAGCTTCAGACTCTGGATTAGCAGGGCCTTGCAGGTCAAAAGATAACATTTCTGATCTTGGCCATGATAAAATTTCAGGCACCATTAAGTATCCAACCACCAACCCAAGCAGTAGCCAACAGCTCTCCTCTGCCTGTAGTGTCAAATGCATGATTAGCAGCATTACTGAAGAGGGGGAGGAGACTGAAGACGACAAGACCTAAGGCAAAGACTATTCAGTGTCTGAAGGCTGAGGTACCTTGGTGAACAAAAAAAAAAAAAGCTTCCCTCTGCCAAAAAACCTCTGGCACTGATATTTTGCTTCTGATAACCTATAAAACATTCCCTCCCTTCAAGTATAGGTCTGACACATTTTTTTTTTTTAAGATTTTATTTATTTATTTCAGAGAAAGAGAGAATGAGAGATAGAGAGCATGAGAGGGAAGAGGGTCAGAGGGAGAAGCAGACTCCCCGCTGAGCAAGGAGCCCGATGTGGGACTCGATCCCGGGACTCCAGGATCATGACCTGAGCCGAAGGCAGTTGCTTAACCAACTGAGCCACCCAGGCACCCAACATTTCAGATTTTCTTAAAAAAGGTAACTACACCCAAGGTTGAAAGGCATCTGTATTTATAGTACGTAATAGTGTTCACCAAGGCACCTAAAGAAAGCACATTTAGGCTCACTCAACTATAAATCAGAGGACATAACGTTTAGTAATGAAGTACTGTCATACCTTCAAAACTGTCAGTCAAAAAAATGAAAATAAAAGATGCTAGTTTTTCCACACAATTTTTTAATGCTGAGTCCCTGGTAATAGTCAAGCTATTTTTTTTTAATGATTTAAGTGACTTAATAGTCAAATTTTGGAGACACTGAAGGGGGGGCAAAGGACCCATTCGTAGATATTTATGATCCATTCTGTTCTTGAATTTAAAAAAGTTCTCAGAAAGGGCGCCCGGGTGGCTCAGTCGTTAAGCATCTGCCTTCGGCTCAGGTCATGATCCCGGGGTCCTGGGATCGAGCCCCGCATCAGGCTCCCTGCTCCACGGGAAGCCTGCTTCTCCCTCTCCCACTTCCCCTGCTTGTGTTCCCTCTCTCACTAAATTAATTAAAAGTTCTCAGAAAATCACTAAGTTATCTAGAAGCACTTTAAAAGGAAGACTAAATGGAGAGGGGTGTCTAGGTGGCTCAGTTGTTTGAGAAGCCAACTCTTGATTTTGGTTCAGGTCATGATCACAGGGTCCTGGGATTTAGCCCTGCGTCAGGCTCTGCACTCACCAGGAGTCTACCTGAGGAGTCTCTGCCTCTCCCTCTCTCATGAGGGCATACACAAACACTCTCTAAATAAATAAAATAAAAATGAAACTTTTTTTAACACCCAAAAGTAAAATTAAAACAAAGACTAAGTGCAGAACGAGAGAACAAACCTCTTCCAGTTTGTCAATGATCATAGCAAAGGCTTTGAAGATGGCGTTAGTGGGTCCAGCCAAAGTGATAATTCTCTCAGGACAATTCCCTTCTGAGATGTTGATACGTGCACCACTCTGGATAAAAAACAAAGCCAAGAGGTTAAATAAGACAAAAAGATCTGAGCATATATAGAATAAACAGCCTCCCCCCGTAAGATAAGCAAGGAACTGCCTACGTAATCTTGACACAAGGCAATTTCAGGATCATTTCAAACATTGCTCATTTTTGTCCTCAGACTACAGAAGCTGCCTTAATGTTTGAATGAACTGAGGCACAGGAACTACATTTCCCAGCATACTATATGTCATTACAAATAACCAAGCCAGAAAAATACCACATTTTCATTTTGAGACATTCCCCCCTGTAATCACTCATTAAAGAAAATTTTTGCCTTTAAGGACTTAACAGTCCCTAAAACTCCCCCCACATAACTCACCTCCTCACGCATCTTCTTAACTGATTCTCCTTTCTGTAAGAGGAAAAGTCAAGAATGAGCTCCAACTGCTATTTCAACCCAGACTGACTAAACAGTAATCAGAGTTGAAGTGAAACTGTCTTACCTTTCCGATGATACTGCCAACTTCCTGCAATGGAGAAAACCAGCGTCAAATAAGAGGAAACTCTAAGTGTTCATTAACATGAAAAGGAATTTTTAACTGTCCAAAGCAATGGGAAAACTAAGATTTATAGGGAAGGGATTGGGTGGGCTTTTTCTTTGCTTTGCTCAAAACATAAATGAAGACATCCAAGAATTTTGAAGAATAATGATGCAGGAATGATTTAATGCTATTGTGCTTAGTATGTTATTTTTTAAAGTACCAAATACATCACCCTTCACCCTCCTCCCCCCGCATTAAAAGTTTCCCAAAACTGTCTGGGCAGAGGAAATCTACTTATCACAAGCTATAGCAACCTCCACAGGCAAAATCTTATTATCCAGATATGCGACAGTCTTTGGCTCCATCCTCTAGTTAAGCCTTTCCTGCTCAGCAGAGCTTCCTACTAAAAGTCTGTCCATTTTCCCACTACACTCTCATCTACTCTGATAGAGAAGAGTGCTAAAGCCAGATGCCCCACAGTGCTAATCTGATGAGCTCCAAGATGCATGCCCTCTCTTCCTGGCCTCTCCCTGAGCAGTTACTATGACCCAATTTCCCAAGCTGGTGCATACCTTTCCATGCATAAGTAGCCGGATGGTGAGAGTGACATTTAATCCACCTTCAATCACACCGGTGTCCATGTCGAGCAGTGTTCTGGGGAGCTGGACTTTGAGTGGTCAAGTCTTTGGTCACTGGTGGGGGTGAAAGCCAAAAACTGAAATGCAAACATGATCAAAAATCAGAAACAACAGGAGAAATAGTTCCTAAAATCATTTTCACCATTATCAATGTTCTCTCTTTTCCTTAAATCACAGCCTATCAATTGGCAAGCTTGTATATATCAAGCACAACTACACTAATGACAACTATTTACAGCTCAGGTTCTGTTAAGAGTATGGAAAGAGACTTTTCAGTCTGTTCTCCTTAATGGTAGGGTTTCCGCTGACTCTCAGGATGAGGAAGATTCCTTCAATCGGCAATGGTTGTAAAGGAACTGCTGAACCTGCACTTGTCCTTCAGCAGAATAAGCTTTGACAGGATACAGAAACACCTGGAAATCATGAGGCCAAACCTCAAACTAACCAATTGCAGAGAGGCAGATAACCTTTTGCTTCCCTGTTAGGTAGCAGTTCAGGTTGAAAGCTAGGAAGGACACAAAGTTTTCTTACTTGCAGCAATTTCTAGGTAAAAAACTGAGATGTATCGCACATTAAAATTTCTAATCTTGACAGATGACACCAAATAATTTTAATAAGATTTAAATCAACAACCTCACTGAAAAAGGCATTATCAGAAAGCCTTCTACAAAGGCTGGGATTCCATATTCTCCTTTGGGAAAACAGTACATTAAGCACAGCCTGAGAGTCCTTTCTTCTATTCCCTTTCCCAACCCAACTTGATAATCACTCGGATTTGAAAATTTTCCTTGCTTCTGTGTATTAACCTTTGTTACTACTTCATCTTTAATCAAATCTATTAAATCTTCAATGTTCTTCCAAAGAAAACAATGCAAATAAAACTAGTATTGCCAAAAATTTATTGTATAGTTGTTTTAAAGCAACAGCAGTAATGAACCTTTCCTACAGAGAAAGCTCTTTCCCCATCTGTCCTCTGAAACAATGTTCCCAATATTTGTGTTAAAGTAACAAATTACATGCAGAAAGATAATTTGTTTTTTGGATATACCTTTTCCTACCATACCTCCTTTAGGACCTAACAGCATTAGCTTTAAAAAGGTTCTCCAAAGTTGATAAATTTCTCCAGTGACATTTTTAGCAACCATCCCTTCAAAACAACATCAATGAACTCTCCTACAACTAGTTTTCCCCCTTCACAAACCAGCCACCGTTTTAACTTTGCTCTAACACAAAGCCCATCCCTAAACACTTAAAAAGTGTTTTTAAGTTGCTGCCAGATCATTCTGTTTATGGCAAGCTGCCCCATGGTTACCTCCAGAGCATGATTTAAAAGATGGGCTGTGCATCCCCAAGGCACCTCATTCCCCCATCTTCAAAACAAAATTAACTGCTGGCAAAATCCCAAAATTCAACACTTTTCACTCATGGAAAAACAACAGTGCTGGGGGGGAGGGGGACTGAGTGGAAAGGGGGAGACAGAGTTACCTCTGTAAGAATGACTTTGTTTTTTAAAATAAGATATGGTAAAATATTGGCAGTTTAGCTCCTTATCTCCACTCAAATGTAACAGGAAACACTTTACAAAACACAACAACGCAAGTACGAAAGGGCAAGAACACTGAAAATCTTTTAGAAGGCCATTTCGTGATTAAGGCACAAAGCTGCATTTCTAACTCCAAACATCCAAGAAATCCCTGTCATATTCTCCTGAGTAGGTCAATATAAGTGTACCCAATCCCAGGAATCCAGCTGTTAATCCTACAGTCCATTACCCCTTCTCCTATAAATAGCTCGGCCTGGGTCTATATCGGCAGGCATTTTGTAATTTCAAAATTCGTTACCCCGAGAGAACGTCCTGAATAACTCGGTAACTGGGAGCCCGTTTACCCTTTCTTTAACTCCGCAGCCCCCCTCCCCTCGGTCATCCAAACATTTTCCAATTAAAAAATGCCCCCCCCCATCCCTCCACCAGAAAAGAGAGAAGGGAAAAAAAATAAACGGTTCGGTCGGGGGGGGGGCGCTGCGATCCAGGGGGAGGGGCCGGACTAGTAGCGCCTCCTCGTGTGCCTGCGCCAGCGCCTGACCCCCGCGGGGAGCCGCGCTCACCCGCCCGGCCAGCAAGCCGGCCATCGCCTCCCCCCACCCCCTTCAACCAACAAATCCACCGCCGCCCCCCCTACCGCGCGCGCGCCCTCCTTGACTCCTGCGCAGCCGCCACCGGGAAAAGGCGGGGGGAGGGGGGTAGGCCTTGCGCGAGGCCTAGTAGGCCGCGCCTGAGCCAGGGCCTCGCGTGAATGGCCGGCGAGCCAGAGTGAGGGGGTAGGCGCTCACGCGGTACTACGCGAGGCCGGGGCTCGTGACGAGAACCGGAGCCCGCTGAGAAAGATGGCAAGAGTGGAAACAGAGCTATAGCTGGGGGCGGAGGGAGAATTTTGAAGCTTACCTGCAGGCGCGAGGCGACTGAGGGGAAAAGGGGAGCGGGCGGGAAGGGGAAGGGCGGGAGGCCGGGGGCGGAACAATAGGGGCGGGCGGGAAGGCGAGGGGGGCCCCGCGGGCGGGCGGAGGAGGAAGGGGGGGGTGGAGGAGGAGGAGGAGGAAGGGGGAAAGAGACCCCGGGGCGGGTGGAGGGCGGCGGAGGGCGGGCGGGCGGGCGGAGGGCGGGCGGGCGGGAGAGGGCGCAGGCTGCGGCTGCTCCGGCTGCTGCCTCTGCTGGTCTGGGAGGGGGACGGGGCGGAGCGGCCCGCTTTCAACCCCGCGCACCCTCCGACCCCGGAAGCGCTAACCGCCCCGGGGGCCGGCGAGGCGACTGCGTCGCCCGAACCTTCCCCACGCAATGCGGACGGCCTCCCAACAGCCTAGAGCGGCTCCATGGACAGCGTCGGCACCAGTGAGACAACACCTGGTAGCGAATGGCCAAGTCTTATGATAGAGCGGCAGCGTGAGGACAGGGAGGAAGCTAGTGGCCCCTAGCGGGCTGATTGGAAAGATCAGGCGTGAGTGCGGAGAGAGTTGGCAGTCGCCATGGATAAAGGAGACAAGAGGGAAAAGGGATGGGTGAGAAGAAAAGAAACGGGAAAAACCCAGTAGTCTATAGTAATACTCATAAAAAATGAAAGAAAGGAAGGAAGGAAGGAAGGAAGAAAGAAAGAAAGAAAAGAAGAAAGGGAAGAAAAGAAAGAAAGAAAGAGAGGGAGGGAGGGAGGGAGGAAGGAAGGAAGGAAGGAAGAAAAAGAAGAAAGGGAAGAAAAGAAAGAAAGAAAGGGAGGGAGGGAGGGAGGAAGGAAGGAAGGAAGAAAGAAAGAAAGAAAGAAAGAAGAAAGAAAGAAAGAAAGAAAGAAAGAACCTAATTTGCCACATTGAAGGCGACTTTTACATCAACTCCTTACTCTGAAAATTAGTGATCAAAAGGAAAGAATTAAGCATTTATTCCCTCTTAGGAAGAACTGCAGTTCATCCGTTGTTGGTAAGGGAAAACTCTTTTTTAAGAGATTTCCATCTAATAAATGTAAAAAGAATGAAAGAGTTAGAAAAATCACCATCCATTCTGCAACCCAAAATGAAATAATTCATTCAGGCCGGTGGCATCAGTCATCAAACTTTAAGTGAAAGGTTGATAGGGGGAGAGGATATTATCATAGGGCCAAATATCACCACACACATTACTGGCAAATTGCACAGAAAAAAAAAAGTAATCTAAAATGGAGAGATCTGATAATCACCACCGTACCCAAGTGATCAAACGTTGCAACACTAATAGCAGGACAAGTTTGACATTATGTGGTCCCTGATTAAATAAAATAAATACATAGCATTGTCTATTAAGTATTCTTGTCAAAAGTGTTTAATCTTAATCTTATCAACCTTTAGACCTAATTTGCAGTGTACAGGAAATTTATGAGGGATAAAGGAATAAGTTAAATACAACACACTGCAGGGAGATAATCAACAAACACAGAATGGGGATAGTCTGCAAAACAATCACTCGAGGGGACACCTGGGTGGCTCAGTTGGTTAAGCAGCCAACTGGATTTTGGCTCAGATCATCATTTCAGGGTCGTGAGATAGAGCCCAGGTAGGGCTGTGCACTCAGCAGGGAGTCTGCTTGAGATTCTCTCTCTCCCTCTGCCCCTCCCTGCCTCTCAAATAAATAAATCTTTTTTTTAAAAGATTTTATTTATTTATTTGAGAGAGAGAATGAGAGAGAGAGAGAGAGAGCACATGGTGGGGGGGAGTCAGAGGGAGAAGCAGGCTCCCCCTGAGCAAGGAGCCCGATGCGGGACTCGATCCTGGGACTCCAGGATCATGACCTGAGCCGAAGGCAGTCGCTTAACCAACTGAGCCACCCAGGCGCCCCTCAAATAAATAAATCTTAAAAAAAAAAAAAGACAACTACCCCAGTCTCTTTAACTTTTTTTTAAGATTTTATTTATTTAAGGGGTGCCTGGGTGGCTCAGTCAGTTAAGCATCTGCCTTCAGCTCAGGTCATGATCCCAGCGTCCTGGGATCCAGGCCCGCATCGGGCAGCCTGCTCAGCGGGAAGCCTGCTTCTCCCTCTCCCTCTGCCCCTGCTGTGTTCCCTCTCGCACTGTGTCTCTCTCTGTCAAATAAATAAAATTTTTTAAAAAATAAATGAAACTTTTTGTAAAAAACTAAACAAAACAACAAAAAACCAAGAAGAGCTCTGGCAGGGAATAAGACAAAATAAGGAGAAGGAAATTAAGAGAAAGCAAATACAGGGTTATTTATTGAACTCTGTTCAAGTCCTTTAGGTGTCAGTTCTGGCCTTGATATTAGTAAGTTTTATTGGGTAACCCCAATTCATTGGAGTCATCTGAAGAGGAACAGCTTCCAGAAGTGAAAAATACAGCTTGGGGATTCCAGTTCCCTGGTGTGGGGGTGTGTGTATTAGAAACAATTTGAGATAGAAATAAAAAGAAGTCTGTCATTGGCAAAGGCAAGGAGCGGACCAAATACTGAAAGAGAGGAAAGGAAATTAAGAAAATGTTGGGGGGGAAAAAAAAAGAAAGAAAATGTTGGGACACTAACATTTCAGAAAAAAAAAATTTTTAAGATTTTATTTATTTATTTGACACAGAGAGAGCACAAGCAGGCAGAGCAGCATGGAGAGGGAGAGGGAGAAGCAGGCTCCTTGATAAGCAGAGAGCCCAACATGGGGCCCCATCCCAGGACCCTGGGATCATGACCTAGACCAAAGGCAGACGCTTAACCAACTGAGCCACCAAAGCACCCTCAAAAAAAATGTTTTAAGTTTTATTGATTTAAGTAATCTCTACACCCAACATGGGGCTCGAACTCACAACCCTGAGATCAAGAGCTGCATGCTCTTCTGACTGAGCTGACCAGGTGCCCCAGGACACTAACATTTCAAATCAAACTAAGGAGCGGGCTTACCGTGAGGCCTGTGCAGAAGATCAGATTAACCTCAAGATTTTGCACTTGGGGGTGCGGGGCGCCTGGGTGGCTCAGTCGTTAAGCATCTGCCTTCGGCTCAGGTCATGGTCCCAGGGTCCTGGAATCAAGCCCCATGTCGGGCTCCCTGCTCCATGGGAAGCCTGCTTCTCCCTCTCCCACTCCCCCTGCTTGTGTTCCCTCTCTCGCTGTGTCTCTCTCCGTCAAATAAATAAATAGAATCTTAAAAAAAAAGAAAAAAAGATTTTGCTCTTGGGGGGTACCTGGGTGGCTCAGTCGGTTAAACGTCTGCCTTTGGCTCAGGTTATGATCCTGGGGTCCTGGGATGGAGCCCAGAGTCAGGCTCCCTACTCCACTGGGGAATATGTTGTCCCTCTCCCTCTGGCTCCATCTCCTCCCCCACTCATGCTCTCTCTCTCTCTCCCTCCCTCTCTCAAATAAATAAAATCTTAAAAAAAAGAAAAGATTTTATACTTGGGTCATTTATACTCCAAAGACCCTGAGAGCTCAGGTGGAAGTGAGTAGCTATCCAAGAAGTCACCTCTAATGTGGAAGGCAAAAGAACGATCAAATAAAAGTTGATAAAATATGGGCACCCGGGTGGCTCAGTCAGTTAAGTGTCTGCCTTTGGCTTAGGTCATGATCCCAGGGTCCTGGGATCGAGCCACACATCAGGCTCCTTGCTCAGCAAGGAGTCTGCTTCTCCCTCTCCCTCTCCCTCTGTCACTCCTCCTGCTTGTGCTCTCTCTCTCTAAAAAGTAAATAAAATCTTTAAAAATTTTTTGATAAAATAACATCATCCTTTACTAACAATAGCATGGCTTCTCTTAGGGCTGGGCAACAGTTGCAGTCAGCTTTGAAAGAGAAAGATGAGATGCACTTAACAGCAATACCTGATAATTTTATGAATCAATAAATTCCTCTCAGAAGGGGAAAGAAGAGAGTGAGTTTGCCTAGAGCCATAAAGCAACCTGACATAGAGAGACGATTCCAAAAAGGCAGCAAACTAAAGACTCATCCCATGACTGGCAATCCCCAAAGCTAAAGTGTCCATTTGTATTTTAGATCTCACACGTTTCCTATCCTTTCCCATTCTCAATTGTGTGGAAACCTTGCTGTACTTTGTTTATAGTAAGAAGAGAATGGCAGACGGGTGCCTGGGTGGCTCAGTTGGTTGAGCGACTGCCTTCGGCTCAGGTCATGATCCTGGAGTCCCAGGATCGAGTCCCACGTCGGGCTCCCTGCTCAGCAGGGAGTCAGCTTCTCCCTCTGACCCTCTTCCCTCTCGTGCTCTCTATCTCTCATTCTCTCTCTCTCAAATAAATAAATAAAATCTTTAAAAAAAAAAAAAGAAGAAGAAGAGAATGGCAGAATCCCAGACTCCCCTCATGGACACAAGGTGGTGAAGGCATAAGACAAACACATTTGAGAACCATCTTTAGTGCTTTATATTGTTGCACAAAATAGGGCACAAACCCAATGCTCTCAGGAGACAGGAAGAAAGAAGGCACCAGGAAGTTGAAAGGATGATAAGACTAGGGAGTACAGGACCCATCCATAGGGAATGACGACTACTCAGGGCCAGAATTTCTGCCTTCAGGATTGTGAACCCACGCTACAGTTTCCAGATGAAAATCTAAATCTTTATTGAAAATGTCTGATATTGGAGCACCTGGGTGGCGCAGTCGGCTAAGCATCCAACTCTTGGTTTTAGCTCAGGTCATAATCTCAGGGTTCTGAGATGAAGCCCCACATCAGGCTTCCTGCTGAATGCAGTCCACTCTCCTTCTCCCTCTGCCTCTCCTGCTTGTGTTCTCTCTCTAAAAATAAATAAATCTTTATTTTTTTAAAGATTTTATTTATTTATTCATGAGAGACAGAGAGGGAGAGAGAGAAGCAGAGGGAGAAGCAGGCTCCCCGCTGAGCAGGGAGCCCGATGTGGGACTCGATCCCAGGACCCCAGGATCATGACCCGAGCCGAAGACAGATGCTTAACCATCTGAGCCACCCAGGTGCCCAATAAATAAATCTTTAAAAGAAAAAAAGAAAATGTCTAATATTTAACACAGTGAGTGGGCCCTCCAAAA